GTCAAACGCTGCTGCAGGCTTCACCTCACCTTCACATGTGGCCCTAACACCTCCAAGCCTCACGAGACCCCCTCACTCTAGACTGGGATTATGTTGACTATTAAAACGAAACATTTAGCCCTGGTTGGTGTGGCTCAGTGGATTGAGGCCTGTGAAGCAGAAGGTCGCCAGTTCGATGCCTGGTTGGGGCACCTGCCTGGGTTAAAGGCCAGGTGCCCAGCACAAGGCATGCGATAGGCAACCACACATTGATGTTTCTCTCTCTTTCTCCTTCCCTTCCCCTCTCTAAAAATAAATAGATAAAAATCTCTAAAACAAAACAAAACATTTGATGGTGGGCACTGAAATTCATTTAAAGACATTTTACAGGGGTCTTTTCTAATGTTCTTTCTTCTTGAGCTATTATATTTCCCCTACAAATAAACTTGATTAGTTGAAATTACTACTCTGAATGATGGACAGTCAGTTTCCCATTCAATTACTGCTGCTCAGCTGTCTGGAGTAAATTAGCGCCACACCATCTTCGCACTGAATAATGCTGATGCACTGCTGATGCTCCCAGCCTTATGTGCTGACACCAATGGGCGTTCAGTCAAAACGAGCGCAGTCCCCTCCTCTTAGAGCAATCCTGGAAGGAAGCCCTTTAGAAAGGACTTTGCCTCAAAGAGCAAAGTCTCAACTGAAGACTCTGTCGACGTTCCTAAGTACATACTCTTCAAAACCAAAGGCTGCTCAACTGCCCGAGTTATTTTCTCAAAACGGTATGGAAGACGTTCCCTCAGTGCGTCCTTCTGCCCCCCACCCGCAGCTGGCCTGAGGGCTGTGACTACTCCTAGAGCTGTGCTCAGGGCCAGCTTTTATTATTGTTAGTTCGAGTCCATCCAATGGGCTGACATTTGTGAAATTCAATAACAACGTATTAGGAAAGTAAGTTTTTAAAAGCCATAAAAATGAAAACTCAATTTTGAATGATCAGATCAGACGCTATCAGATTACCCTTCAAGCTCCCAAACCTCTCTTCATTTCCGTCCTTAACTCGGCACGGGCGGGGAGCGAACGTTCCGTGGCCGGCACTTTGCACAGCACCCCCGCACAGTGCGCGGCTTCACACGACAACACCGTGCGTCCGGTCGCCAGTCCACACCAGCACCCGGCATTCAGCACAGAGGAGAGAGTCCCTCAAATCCTCTGCCTATCAAATTTCACTTGCCCTTGATCAAGCAGCTTTAAAGAGATTTCCATCATCAGGGGTCAGAGGTCTTTGTTTTTTCAAAATTTAGTTTCTAAGCAAATAGTTCATGACCAGGGGCATAGAAAAAAATCCAGAGGTGCTTTTTCAAAATACACACCCCTCCCTACCCGCTTTGAAATACTGTAATGATGACCTTTAGTGAAGCCACACCTCTAACGAAATACCCTGGGGAAACCCGCCAACAGATGTGACAGTCACTGATCACCTATCGCATGCCAGGGACTCTCCCAGACACCTCCACTTCCCGAGTAACACTGCTGCTCACCAACCCTCTGAGCGAGCTCTCACCTCTGCTTTATTTCATGTGAGACCCAGCTCCTGAAAAGCTGGGTGACAGCGCCAGGCTCAACTGCTGGGTGAGATGACAACCCAGGTCTGTGTCTCCTCATGCTCACGGTGCCACCCGTAGTCATTTCCAGTTTTTATTCAATGTCAACTACTGTAGGAAGGTCTGTGGAAACGGAGTATCATCTGTACACCGTGGTGCCTCGGGGGCCAGGCAGCTTGGGTTGGAGTCCCCGGCTCTGCCACTTCCCGGCTGGCAGCCGGGGGCGAGTCCCTCAACCCCTCCGTCCTCATCTGTGAAAGGGAGAGACACTGCCACCTGTCTCACGGGCATCTTCTAAGGGCCGAGCAAGTGAATGCACACGCTGCAGAGCCCCGGACACCCACCGCGGCCCTCGCCAGCATCAGCGCCACTCTCGGTGTTTCCCCTCGAACCTGCTCTTCTTACTGCTGCTCCCTGCTTCAGGCCACAGATAGAGGAGTCGTTTCCAGTCCCTCCCCGTCCACATGTCCCAACGCTGGCCGATGCTATCAACTCCACTTCCTGTTTCGGTGTACCAGTGTCTCTCAATTTCCACGGCCACCACCCCAGTTCGGGCTACCACTCTTGCCTCTAGACGTGCCTCCTCCAGTCCGTTTCTTAGTGAGCAAGAGTGATTCTTCTCCATGTCGTATCTGATCCTGTTATTCCCCTGCTTTAAGCTTCTCTCAGCAGAACCCAGTGCCTCAGGATAAAGTCAAAATGCCCTGCACCCTGGCTCACAAGGCCACACGCGACCTTCCACTTACTTCTCCAGTGTGTGTGTGTGTGTGTGCGCGTGCGCACGCACATACTGTATTTCTCAGACTATAAGATGCACTGCCCTCCGCCCCGCATTTGGGAGGAATAATGGTTGTTAATGCTGCTGTTGAGTTCTGTTTACATTTACATTGGTGAAATGTTATGTTATTTATGTTATTAAATATTTACCACGTTTTTTCCTTCAAAATTTTTTTTATTTTCCTCCTCTAAAACTTAGGTGCATCTTAAGGTCCAAAAAATACAGTATATGTTTTTTTTTAAACTTCTCTCTAAGCTTTTCGAGCTACAGCAGTCTTGAGGGGCTGTCAGTCCCTGAATGAGCCACGCTTGCTCCCACCGAGGGCTTTATTCCGTGTTCCTTCCGACTGGCCAACACCAGCACAGCCTTCCCGGCCTTAGGCAAGCACTCCCTGCCCGACGCCCCTGCCCCAAACACCACTTGGCACTATTACTCCGTCTGAGGGCCTGAGGCACTGAACTGTGATGGGCACTTCACCACCTGCCTCCCTGCTCTCCATTGCGTCTCAAATCCCTGCTGCGTTCCCAAGCGCCCAGCACAGTGCTATGTGCATTGCTGCCCAACGCTTTATCTCATTAATCACCCACCAGCTTGGAAAAAAGGAAGAGGTTGTGGAAAGCCCTAGCAAAGCAGTGGAAATTAGCTTCCGAGCTTCAAAGTCATCAGAGAGAACCAACAGATGGAGATGCACAGAGGCAAAAGGTTAAAAAAGGGCTCCCTAATGAGCCAGATATACCAGGGGGATCAGGCACTGGCCTGGCCCCGGCTTCAGGACGACACCCTGCCTCTTCGCTGCATCTCTGTCTGGCTGCTGGCGGCCACCCTGCCAGATGCAGCCCGCTCACCGCTGCCTGCATCACAACACAACGAACACTGCCAAGGGGGATGGAAGGAGCCAAGCCCTTGGCAGTCTTCGAACCAGCCCAGTGAAAGCAGAACTCAGATAAAAAAATCAGACACCCATAAGTAAACTGGAAAGTTAGATTTTCCTTCACATTGGGGATGACTGTGGTAGCTTTTCAGTATCTTGGACTGGCATCAAGATTTTTAAATATATTCCTGTTGTGGGTTGAACGAAGTCTCCCAGAAGGGTATGTTCAAGTCCAAAGCCCCAGAACCTGTCAACGTGACCTGATCTGGAAACAGGGTCTTTGCAGATGAAACCAGGTTAAGGTGAGGCTGTAATGGCTTAGGGTGGGCTCTCATCCCATGACTGATGACCTTGTAATAAGAGGAAAACTGACACAGACACACAGGAGACAAGGCCACGTGAAGACGGGGTCGGAAATGGGAGTGATACGTCAGTAAGTGAAAGAACACCAAAGACTGCCGGCAACCACAAGAAGCTCGAAGGGGCAGGAAGGGCTCTTCTCTGGAGCGTCTGGAGGGAGCGTGGCCCTGCCGATCAGACTTCTGGCCCCCAGAGCTGCGGGAGGGTAAGTTTGCTGGTGTAAGCCACCCAGTTTGTGGCACTTTTTTTACGGTAGCCCTAGAAAACGAACAAGCTCATTAAAAGTGTTTTCGGAGAAAAAAAAAGAAAAAAGAAGTTAATTGGCTCTTTCCCTAGGCAGAGAGTAACAGTCTTAGTCATTACACTGAATAAAAGATATTATCACGGCACATTCTTTAAGAAAATTAATCTAGGCTCTTTCCAATTTTTATGTTATATTTTTTTGAAGCTTAGTTTTAGTTCACAAGACAGCAGTTTTCTGTGACTAATGCCCTAGTCGCTGACCGTGTTAATGTTTTATGCTACCATCTCAGCTAGGTGCACAATGATTTAGGGGACACGATCTCTAACACGGCGGCACAAAAGAAAGAAAGAGTTTTCCCAAGTCCTGACGCTGACCTTCCCTAATCAGAAGAGAGTCCAGGTGTGCAAGGGCAATCGAGAACAGAGAGCAACAAGTCAGCAGGCTGTGAATGAAATTGGGCAGGAGTGCGTGTACGTGTGCGAGCACAACACACACTGTGCAGACCACTGGCAATGGTGGCCTGGCGACAGCGGCACTCTCAACCCCACACTTGAGCCAGGATGAGACAGCGCTTCCTGGTCTTCACCGAGTTCTCCGGCAGAGACGCAATCCGTAGCTAACAGTAGGCATCACGACCTTCGACTCTTGAATAGTCACTGACAAACGTGAAGAATCACTGACATGCAGAGGCCCAGAGGGGTCAATTTCCGATTCTACTCTCATCTGTCTAATCTTTTAAAAGCATCATTCTCACATCTCATTCTCTGATACCTAAAGCTGAAGAAGCACACATATCATTTGGCCTCGAGGTGGCCTCAAGATAACTAGTATTGAAGATCTTTCTGGGTGTGAATGGCATTATTAGCTGACAGCCATGAAAATAATTTAGAAGACATGGTAAGTAGAAGATTTAAGGCACATGGCTATCAATCACTCTCATGGCTTTTACTGTTTAGCAGCATGACAGTACCACCCATCGGGAAGAGGGAAACGCAGGTTCTAGAGACAAGGCCTTGTTCGGAGGTGTTCTCACTCACTAACAAGCTGCAAGGAGGTACTGGAGTGGCCGGAGTACAGCAGAAAGAGCACACTAGCTGCGGTGGCCTAGACCCGCCCCCTGTAAGCCTGGGGATGGTGTGCAGGGCTCTGCAAGTGTAGGCGACCCACCTCCGCACAGACGGGGTGGATTCCGATGGTGCTGTCCAGCTGCTGCTTGGTCAGTCCGCACTTGATCGCGGCTGCGAAGCCTTGTGTGACTTCTCCAGCGTTTGGACCCAGGACGTGGAAGCCCACAACACGTTCCTAGGATAGAAAATCAAGTAATACAGTTACACTGGTATTTTTTCCCCTTAAGGGCCTAGAGTATTTCCCCAGTCCATTCTAAAAACCCCATTCAGAAACGGCCAAGGTCATACTCGTACTAATGCTTGCTGTTAAAAGCCATTTAGGCTGAAGATAACTCCAACGTGGGCACAGACAGAGTGTGGGGTCACATGGAGCAAGAAGGAAAGAACAAGAGCTGGCCACGAGTGACAGTGAGGGGCAACATTAAAAGCAAAACTGTCTGCAATTCCAGAAACATCACAGTGTTCTGAGAAACGTTTTCAAAGGGCGGCTGTGTCCTGATCTCCTCTACCTGGCTGTCTCCAGCCTCCCGGTACACTGTGGCAGCTGAAACACTGAAGAGCACTCTATCAAGTCAACAGTCATTTCAACTCAGGTTTTGGGGACAGATTAAACTTAAGCCCCTGCCATCCAAAAACATTTTTGAAAGCAATAGAAAAATGTGTGGCAACTCTGAAATACCTGTGTAGACATTACTTTCAATGAATTCTAAGTCCCAGACTCGGGACAATCTCTGCCAAGAGCAGAGAAATCCATTGCCCCGTTCAGACTTTCAGAGCCAACTCGAACCCAGCTGGCCTGCCCACTGCCCAGTCTCCTCACACCAGATGTGGTGACACAGGCCTTATCTGAGGCTCCCTCCCTCTGCAGAGAGCAATCAAGACAGTCACTCTGTTGCCCAAGCACTGTAATATGTTCCATGTTGGACTGATGGGACTCATCCTGACAATCAGGGGTCGAGTATATGGATAAACGAAGCATATTCTAGGTCTTAAAATATCTACATGTACAGCTAGTAATATGAATAGATCTCAAAAAATGACATTAACAACAGCTCTAGCCGGTGTGGCTCAGTGGATTGAGTGCCAGCCTACGAATCAAAGGGTTGCCAGTTTGACCCTCACGGGAGGCAATCCCATGGTGATATTTCTTTCTCTTTCTCCCTCCCTTCTCCTCTCTAAAATAAATAAATAAAATCTTTTAAAAAATTAAAATAAAAAACAAACAAGTTGCAAGCCTCTGTTTAGCTGAGGATACCACTCAATTAAATCACAATATATAAAGTTTATGGATAAAATATGAACAGGCGAGACGCTCCAAGTTCAAGACCGTTGCCTCGGGGTAGGGAATAGAGGAGGGGTACAGGATAACGAAGGACTACAAAGGACATGGGATAATGGTAAACAGCACAGAGTCTACCTTGTCCAAGTTTGAATTCCAGCTCTGCCATTAACTAGTACATGCCCTGACACAATTTTTTTAATGCATCTAACATATATTTAACAGAACTAACATCCCTAGCTAACATATACTCACACAAGTAAACTTTTAATAAAATTTGTCTAAAGAGGAAAAAAAAAACATCTAAGATTGTTTCTACGCCAAGTCCACATAGCTCACGACGGGTTACCCCAGCGTGTTCATGCACTAAATGCACGTGACGACCCTCTGGGCAGAGGACCCAGGTGCTCCTAGGACCCTGGGCTCTGCAAAAAGCGACATGCTGCTGTGCTCCTGTCTGGAGCGATAGCTTCTAAATAGGACATATGGCTTAACTGTATTCAAATCCAAGACAAAAACCTGTAAGTCTGTTAGGCTTTTAACATATGGATTCTTTAGCATCATTTATATTTTTACTGAGGGCATTTTCCTTCAAGTAAGATCCCAGCCAAGTTAAAAACACCAGTTCTTATGAGATTTGGTGAACACCACAGAGCACATGTACGGACATGCGTGTGTCTGGGGCTACAATACAAACTGAGGGGGCAGCAGTCGGAAAAGCTTGAAAACCAACGATTTATACAAGTGCTTCGTCAGTATGGAAACAAATTGTAAGGTCGAGGAGTTTGCTCCCAGGCCTTCGTTGCCCACCCATGTTACATGTAGCAGCAAGCAATAAAACCTTAAATCACAACCCAGTTAAGCCTTGGCCAGGGAGCTCAGTTGGTTGGAAACGTCATTCTGATACGCCGAGACTGTGAGATTGATCTCCGGTTAGGGAACACACGAGCAGCAACCCACGAATGCATAAATACGTGCACAACACAACTCCACGTCTGTCTGTCTGTCTCTCATCAATTAAAAAAATAATAATTATTATTTTTTTCTCCCTTGTGCCAGCTGCTTTAGGGTACAACCTTGCACTGCTCCTGTTCATTATTTTTTTGTTGTTGTCATTATTTTTAGATGATCAATGACTTAAGTGGCTCCCTGTCATACATGCACAGAGTTCTCAAATTCTCCCTCTGGTCCATTCACTCAGCGCGTTTAACTGCTAGTCCACGTAGTGGAGCAGAGGGGAGATCAAGTGCGCCGCTGCGGCCCCCGCCCTGGCGCGCCTGTGCTCCGGGGGGACCAGCAGGTAGAATGGTGAAGGAACTCAACGTGCATCGTGTGACCAAAACAGAGCCACGTACTAAAAGCAAAATGAGGTCAGCTGAGAGGTTTAAATGAGAACTGTACTTACACTGTCTTTCATGTTGCAGACTATTTTTGCATAGCACTTGTTGCTATCTCTTGATGGAACCGTCCACTCCAGCGGCCAAAAGTAGCTGTGGTAAACCTAAGAAGACAAGAGCACGGTGAGACCCGCCGTCTGCAGCAGCACGTCTGCCACACCAGCTGTGGCACGGAGACAGCGGAGGCTCTCCAGTGATCGGACTTGCATTAAACAGTAAAATTCACACGGAAACGGACTCACGGCCGCAGAGAGCAAACCGATGGCTGCCAGAGGGGAGGGGGCTCGGGAGCTGGTGACAAAGGTGAAGGGACTGAGGAGTGCGGGCCGGTGGTAACAAGACAGTCACGGGGATGCAACGTGCAGCACAGAACACGTCCCTGGTGTTGTGTAATAACCACGCATGGTGCCGGGTGCGTATTCGACTTCTTGGGGGGATCATTTTGTGAATTGTGTAATTGTCTAACCACTATGCTGTATACCAGAAACTAATGTAAAGTAATATTGAATGTCAACTGTAACTGAAAACTAAAAATTAAAAAAAGAACACACAAACCAACAATAAAATTTGTGGAGTAAGTAGGAACCCAGTCAGAAAGCAAATGACTGTAAGCCCCTGTCGTGAGATCCTGTTGCTAGCCTCTCATCCCTTAATGACATGTCAGGCCGGAAAGACGAAACCCTAAGTAATAACCAGCAGGCGAATGAGAGGAAGGGGCCATGTCATCACTTGCTGTCTTGCGTTAACATATGGATTTAAAAAACCGAAAACCAGCACTATCTTGTTACCAGAGGGGAATGACCACTTTGGGCAGGAAACAAGTCAAGTGCCAGCAACAATGACAGCAATTACCTAATTTTCTTGGTTAAGGCTTCCAAAGAAGTTTCCTCCTTCGGCACTGCTCACAAAAAGTGCAGAAGGGAGGCAGGGGGGGCGGGGGGATGGGCCAACGGAAGGACACAGACATCCTCACTGATGGTTCACAAACTTAAGTTCTGCAGGGCTAAAGGCATTTACTTTCTCCAACTGCTGGGCTCAATTCAAAACATATTGTATGTGGTGGGCTGCCTTTTAAAAACACACTGATTAGGTAGACATTATAGTAAGTGTTCTTTCACATTATAAAATGATATGAATTTTTCTTAAAATAAGGGTTACTAAATTGAATGTATAGTATTATAGTGTCACAACAATTACACACGAAAAAGCGATTAAAAAAATTACACCCGATTACTAACAATTATTGTTATAAACATAACTATGAGTAATTATATGAGGGAATCCTACTTCCCTTACATATTTCAAAATTTCAACTTCCAATAAAAATTTCAACTCTTACAATAAAAAATGCAAATTTTAATAAAACAAAACCCAAAGACAGTCTGTCAAGAAGTAGAATGTATAATAAGAACCTTAAAATGTAAATACTTCTTGATAGGCATCTATTCTCAGAAAATAATCAGAGAAACAGATAAGGGATAATGAAGAAGTTCATTATTCTATTAATATTGAAAAAACGTAAACAGCCTAATAAAGAATGGCATAACAAATTACTATAGAGCATCCCTAAAAGGATATTACACAAGCCATTTTAAAAATGGTGAGTTTCGGGGGAAATGCTTACGATCTAATGTTAATTGTAAAGTAGGACTGAAAACCGCACATAACTTAATCACACTTTTACAACCATTTGAGGCATATGTACCTACATAAAATTATATATCATATAATATATAGAAATACACAAAACTATTTAGAGACAAGAATATGCCAAAATATTAATTAGCAACTATCACTTCATGAACTAAAATTTCCTTTTTTATATTTTCTTAATTTTTCAAACTTCCTATAATGAGGATTATTATTTTTAGAATCAGAAAAAGTTAATAATGTGTTAGGAATAGACCACGCTATTACCTGCCACTATTAACGTACATAATAAACACAAAGATTGGCCAGAGATTTAAAATACACTCGCATCCTAAGACCTGGTCTTTGAGAGGGTTCTCCTAAAAGCTTTTCCCCAAACGATTTAAAAAGCAGCAGTCACGTTGTGTTGCATTATTTGTGTATACGAAAATAGTGTACTTTGTGTGCATTTTCCTTAAGTATATGATAAAAGGTGAGTGGTAAAGTTAATGTAAATTAGATGATAATGGTAGAGGGGAAAATACCTAATAGAAGAGTAGAAATATAATTAACTTTAATTTTTTTCTTTGTAGTTTCCCCCATTTTTCTTATTTCTAACAATATTGTTTTAATTTTAAAAAATAAACCAGTAAAAGTGGTTCTAAAAAGTAGTATTATTGGGTCAACCGATGAAGTAGAAAAATGGAAGGTAGATCAGATAAGTGTATTGTATGAATACATTAAGTTTCCTAAACGTAATAACTATCCTGTGGTTTTATAAGAAAATGTCCTTGTTCATGGGAGATACATACTAAAGTATTTAGGAATAAATATTTAGGAAAAACTTAACTTGCAATTGGTTCAGGAAAAAAATACAAGCAGATACAGAGAAACAGAGAGAGACTATGAGTGTAAAAAACAAATGGGCAAATGTTAACAACACATAAATCTGGATAAGGGTATACAAAAGTTCTTAGTACGATTTTTCTCCTTTTCTGTGTGCCTGAAATGATTTTTAACTTTGAAAAGCCCGTGGTAGTAACTAAACAGAGGAGTAAAGAGAACTTACCTCAATATTTTCTTCCCCAAATTTCTCCACGGCTTTCTCTTCAGAAAGACCACAAGCGCCATATTCCAAAGGAGTAAAGACAGTGGTAGGAACATTTTCATAGTCGCACTGTTTCAAAACGGGCAAGAGTTAAGACGAGAGAAATTGTAACTCAAGAGGGGTTCATAATTAGGGGAGGGAAGCAGACTAATACATTTCCACCAAAAGTATGGGAAGCCACCATCCCAGAGAGACATCTACTACGCAAGAACCGTAAACTCATGCGACGGAGTTTCAGCAGAGGTGTGAAGTCACGAAGAAACGCTTCACGTGATGTTAACTACAAAGACAGACTTTCTCTCCTTTTAATAAAGCGGCCAGAAATAACACAAGCGTACCCAAAGCTGCTGGTCTCGTTACTGGTGACAGAAACCAACAGATGTCTAAAAATTAACTAGGTAACACATATTAAGAGTCATAAAAATATTTTATAACTTCTGACCCAATAATCTCACTCTTAGACATCTATAATGATTTAATATGGAGGAAGAGCGGCATGCATTAACTGAGCCATGCTGTAGCTCTCCTCAACAGTGGCAGTATTGGAGTAGCTTTAAAATGCAAATAAGGAAGTGGTTCTACAATATATACATGCAGTGTAACATTATGCAGCTATTAAAATGAAATGAAAACCATAAAAACACAAATGTTAATGATTCTATTTCCAAAGCGCATTTTATGTAAATAGGTGCAGATGACAAAGGGATGCTGAAGTCAAAGAAGTTGTAAAATGCTGTATTAAGCAAATAAATAGGTTTCTCAACCATCAGATTTCTCAGAGCCTTTAACATACTCATGCAAATTGTGAAAACTGTTATTATGTAAATGCAAAATATGTCTGTAAATGCTATGTGGTAAAAACCTACCCAGGCACATTTGCCCCTACAGGTGGGGTTATTCTGCCTTTAAAATATAAGAAACTGAATTCTCACTCTCTAAAACAGTAGTGTGAAATCTTTAAGTGTGCCTCCCCTCTAGAAATAATAAATATAATCCTTTCCCTCTAAGAACATAAACCTCTGGAATTCTGACTCAAAAGTAAAGACAGACATCCACTTACAGCCATAATGGTGTATTAGGGGCCAGATTTACCTCCCTGCTTTAAACAACTAGGAGACCAGACAAGGATGACGCAATGCCTTTTAAACACCAGACAACAGCTACAGGGCAGAATGCCACTGGGGGCGAAGCTGCACAAGGAGAACTCTTGAGGTCTGCAGTGAGGTCCTCCCGAGGTTTGGGCTGAGTTCTGCAAATGTGCCAGAGGAAAGCACTCAAGAGCAGGGAAAGAGCCACTGGGAAGCAGTGGGGCCCCAGCCACCAGAGGTCTAACGGCACTGGAAACGCTTCCGGTTCCCACGGCCAGGCCAGCGTAGAAAGAATTCATCACATAAGAGGAATGGAGTAGAGACCTTCAAAGGGCATCAATTTAGCAGCGAAACTAAATCATCTCTAGATGACAGGTTGCTGTTGCCAGACCCGAAAGAAGCTTAAAAGCAAGTCACAATGGGACAAAACTAATCTTCGGTAACTTAAAGGGCTGTGTCTGAACAAAGTCCCACACTGTACAAAGCAACTCAACAAAGCCTAGCACTGAACGATGTAAAACTACGATATCTGCATCCATCCAACAGCATATGGACATGCAAGGAACACGCAAACCAGTACCGTAAGAAAAATCAACTAATAGAAACAGACACTGAAAAAGAGATGATGGAATTAGCAGAGGACATTGAAAGAGCTAAATATGTTGTCAATGGCTGAAATTATGCAACTAAGGTAAAGGAAAACCACCTGCTGAAGGAAAATAAGAAGAAAACTTATTTTAAATAAATGAAAAAAACAATTTAAAGCACCAACTACACAAATTGGGATTAACAGCCCAAGACAATGCAGAAGAAAAAAGGTCAGTGAACTTGAAGACATCGCAACAGGTTCTCTGAGGAAACAAAGCACTGAGATGGGGCAGGGCCGGCTGGAGGGCGGGGAGGGGACACAGGAGCAAAGACCACAGACCCATGGGGCAGTATCGAGTGAACCAACAGTCATTAATCGGAGGCTAAGGGAAAATTTAAAAAAGGGAAATACAGAAAAAAAAATAACTGAATGACTGAAAATTTTCCAAATTTGATGAAAACTATAAACAGATAAATCTAAGAATCTTAGACAAACCACGAGCAGAATAATTATGAAGAAAAGCATACCAAGGCATGCAATAATCAAGTTGCTAAGAAAAATTTAAAAATCTTAAGAGAGACAAAGATAAAAAAGTTTATTTTCTTTACAATCTATGCAACCGCAAGATGATAGGTAAATTATTAAAATATTTAAACTAACACCATAAACCTAGAACTTTATATTCAGTAAAAACATCTTCCAAAAAATGAAGGCAAAATGAACGTATTTTTCAGCCTTGGAGAGCCCTATCCCCACGCCATTCCACGTCTGCTTCCTCCTTGAGTATTCTGAGTCCTCGAGTTTCCTTCCTCCCTTCTGTCCACTCCTCCTCCCTTAAAATTTTAGATATAATTCACATATCATAAAATTCACCTTTTCAAAGTTTCCATGTCAGTGGTTTTTCTGTATAGTCAAGAAGTTATGCAACTATTACCACAATATAATCCAGAAAATTCCATCATCCATAAGACACTCTACACCCACCAGCAGTCACTCTCCACTCTCCGCCCTCACCCCTGACACTTCAGTTAAAATAAACTAAAAAAAAAAAAAAAAAAAAAGAAAAAGAAAATAAAACCAAAGAAATCACCACGAGCAGAGAGACATACATTCAATAGCCAGTTTCATGAAACATACCTAAGAGTTTCAGCATCCTACACTGACTTCTAAAAACCACATTAAAATATTCACATAAGGCATTCAACACTCCAGGAGCTGCAGACACATGTTTAGAAACACAGGGAAATACAGCCCGAGTACCGGTGTAAGCGGCTCTGCACATTGCTACTGTAACCTAGACCCCCAGACCCTTTCACACAGCCTCCACAGGTGCCATAAAAAGAGTTCTTAACTTGGTAATGATAAAAATTGATAGAAAACGCCACCATTATGAGTATATGAAACATAATAGTGCTGAAATCTGATTGACCAAGCTCATTTTATTCTTAGTGTGATTCCAAGAGTGACCATTTTCTTAACAAAGTCATGAAGGTACGGCGTCCTTCACCGTGTCATTTGGAACTCAGCTAATGAAGCACGTCTAGGACGCCATCATCAAAGTAACTGAGTTACTGGAGACCTGGATAACCTCCCAACTTCCCCGAGACAGAGAACCAGGAGCTTTGTTGAAAACAGTGCTGCGGCGGGCGGCGGCCGCGACACTCACCTTGACAGTGGAGCCCGCGTACAGCCTCTGAGCCAGCAGCCTGCCCGCCTGGATGGCGACCGGGGTGAGCTCCGGCTTCCCCTCCAGGATGTCGCCGATGGCGTAAATGTAAGGCACGTTGGTCTGCTCCTCATCCGTGACAGGTATTTTTCCAGTCCTGCAAGTCCATTCGGTTAAAAATAGGCATTAATTACCATTATTAATTAAGCAGAACAAAATCCCCTTCATCCCCAAGAAGCCCCAAACTGGGACTCCAGCTGAGGCAATGTTCTAATGTATTATCAAAACATAACAGCTCAGAGGAAATGAAAGCTTAGAGATAATTCTCCCTGCTCTTTTGAAAATTAAAGGAATAAGAAAACTATTAAGAAACCCTGGGATGGGAAAGCTAGAACATGGTGATTAAGAATAAGGACTCTAAATTGTAATAACCAGGTCTGTTTGTTATTACCTCTGTGATCTTGGGAGAGCTATTTACCATCTCTAAGCCTCATTTCCCCACCTATAAACGGGAATAATGAATGATCATGGGGATGGTAGTAAGAAAAAGAACTCCCTCCTCCGTTACCATAAGGGGTTGTGAGGACTGAATGACGATCCCTGTAAAACAGTCAGCACAAGAGTCCATCGCTCACAGTAAGTACAGGATAAATGTTAGCTACTCATATATGAAATCTAAACCTTAGAACCCATTGGCAACAGGCTAGCAGGTTATGAAGAAAAAGGAAGACAAAATAACCCTCACAGAAAGACTAGAAGTCTCTTCTCCTGAATAAAAGTGATTCCTGCAAGGACTGGCAGCTGGCCATGACCCCGGGGGGCTTGCCGCCCGCACCACATGCCTCTACTCGGCTGTGAGGAAGGGGATACTGGGCAATGCTCCGTGCTGCACCCACAGCAGATGCCAGAGTCTCAGCCATCCAGTGCGGGGCTACAGTCCAGAGGACCTGAACTCCTAAAGCACTGGAAGAAGTAAAAGTTTTCATACTTGCAACTGTCACTAGAAATGTGACCACTCGACTGACCCTAAAACTTGGTAGCTTTAAACGTGGCCCCAAAAAGTGCACACCTACAATTACCTGGGGGCTGCAACTCGTTCTGTTCGCATTAAAGAAGCAAAAAGCAAGCCACTGCAGCTCTCACTTAGATTTTGAAAAGAAAAATAAATGAAAGTAAAGCAAACAGAAAATACCGTGAGTGGCAACAGATTTTTTTCTGAGCTTAAAAAGGGAATTCTCTATGATAAAATTAACTTTAAAAATCTAAAACTCCCCTGGCTGGTGTAGCTCAGTAGATTGAGTGCGGGCTGCGAACCAAAGTGTCGCAGGTTCGCTTCCCAGTCAGGACACATGCCTGGTATGCAGGCCACGGCCCCCAGCAACCGCACATTGATGTTTCTCTCTCTTTCTCTCTCTCCCTTCCTTCCCTCTCTAAAAAAATAAATAAATAAAAGTCTTAAAAAAAATTTAAAAAAATCTGAAACTCCAGTATTAATCAATATTAGAGGAATCTAAAATAGTATTCAGTAAGATATAAGAAAGATTTTTCTCTTACTTTTCATTTATCTTCACCCCCACGGCCTCTAAGCCAATGTTCCTTGTGCAGGAATCTCTTCCTATTGCCAGCAACACCTGAGAAGTGAACATACAGCAACTATCAACAAAAAGACTTTATGTGAGTCATTTAATCATTATTTTTTCTGCTTATTAAGCCAACCTGATTCATCCATAACTAGAAAGAAATAGTTCACTAAGAAAATAATGCAAGAATAATGCAAGAGTTTAAACAATTACAATCTTTAAAAAAATCCTTCATATGTGATATAGCAGAAATCCTTATCTATTTCTTATTTAAAAAAAGGGAGTTTAAGCCACGTGGTAAAAGACAAATAACATATGATCTCACCTTTAACAGGAATCTAATCAACAAAACAAACAAACAAACAAACAAGCAAAGACACTGAAATTGAGAACAGGCTGACAGTGACCAGAGGGGAGAGGGGAGGGAATTTCAGGGGAAGGGTTTGCAGGAGCTAGTATAGAGGACACATGGACAATAACAAGGGTGGGGGGTGGATCTGGGAGGAAGGTGGGAAGGGCTGGGGGGATGGACTGGGATGGGAGTAAAGGGCAGAAAACTGTACTTGAACAACAATTAAAATTAACAAAAAAAAGAAAGAAAAAATCCCATTTGATATAGGGCAAAAAAAAAAAAAAAGAAAAAGGGAGTTAACAATTCCTTAATAAACCTAGACAGGATTAAAGACAAAGACAGCACGATGCATGAATGAATTCAGTTATTTTAAATATTGAAAGTGACCGGCTGGGGAACTGAAAGGGAAGAACACGGGACAGAGAAATTCTAGCTCATTTAAAAATGCCGATGCTTTTTTGCAGCCATTTGAGAAACAACATTTTAAGTTTACACTGCAGAAATCTGAAGCTATCCCTGTACCTCAACAAATTATAGTGTCACAAATCATAATGGGAACAGAACCAATGACCTTGCAAACAGCAAACAGCCAACAGCCATTTTAAGTACCCACAAAATTTCTGGTAAGCACACTATGTGCTCTGTAACGACGTGCGGACCTGGGTCCCTTCCTTACCGTGTTGTACTCTCCTTCGATGATTTCGTCACTGCTGGTGGACTGAGCTACCACCCTGAGTCGGCCTGGTGCCCCTGCTTCGATCTGTTCAACCTACGAAAGTGATAAACTTTTACTCCACAATAAACACCTGTGTCACGGTGGATACTTATGTCCTCCCTTTCTACCTCGCTAACCCACAGTTAAAACAGAAAAGCTGGCCTCAAAGGTCTTTTAAGTCCCCTCTCTCTAACCTTAACATCATCAAGATGCTGTCATTCTCTCATTATCCCCTTTCCTCGTTGCTTACTGTTCCCAAGCAGAAGTCAGAGAAAAGAGTGGAAGGGAAAGCCCGAGGAAGCAGACTGCACGTAATCCCTAAATCAAACCAATGACTCACTGCCCGGTAAGTCACCCGGAACCACTAATCCCCAGTAGAGCCACTGCTGCTCAAACTCAAGAGGTTTTCTTGGCTGCAGATGACCAGCTTTGTCTCCAAGGGTCAGACCGGGGGATGGGTCGGTCATGACACAGGCGACATCTAAAAGCCCTAAAAACCACCGTGGGCAAGGAGGTGTGTGCGTTTACGGAAACCTGGTAAGAATGCTGGGAGGAAGCGGGCAGCCCGGTGCCGGTGCCGTGCCCGATGAGACGGAGCACACCAACCCACCGCGCACAGCGGTCAACAACGGTGACTCACAGACCGGGCACCGACGACCGAGACCCTATTGCCTGGAGGCTTCTGCAAGAATGCAGTGACCCTCTGATGTCTCCAAATGACACACAGATCATGGGTTTCTGTGAAATATTTACTGGGAGAAATTCATCAACGTAACCTGCAATTTCTACCTGACCTTTAAAATACAACCACTCTGAGTGGAAAAACTGTCAAGGCTGATTTTATTTTCAATATCAATTAGACAGTAAAGATTTACTTCTTGAACTCCCTTTCTTACACAGCTAAGTCCCCCTGAACATACTAGAAATGTCTTTCCTATTTAATTTAAGGTACAGTGTTCTAATCTTTGGAGAAAAGTTGAGTTGGTCCATGGCTTAGATTTGCTTAAAAAATGGTAAGGGCCTTATCCCACCTCTAATTCATTCCTGCCTTCCTCACTTTTCAGTCCTGGTCAGGCCATCTCTGTATTTCTGCATTTCTGCATCTCTGACTTCTGCATTTAGAACAATTTTGTTCCCCACGTAATTTTTGCTCACACTTTGATCTTTGTTCGAAGTGCACTCAGTCCCTCCCTCCTCTCTGTAGAAGGATGCTTCCACTCAGTCACTTTATAACATAGCAAGCATTCACTACTAGCCTCTAGGGGGTCAGACACCCTAGTAACCCCAGCAAAATGTTACATGCACAGACGCAGGTTTATTTCACCAGGGAGAGTCCACAAGTTCTCAAGGGGCCCACAACTCCCTGAATGTCAAGATGGTTGTAAAGGAAGATGCTACTTTTTCTACCAGCACAGCATTTACAAACAGCATTGTTTTCTAATCGCTGTCCTAATGCAAGCAAACATTACCTCCACTCCCTGAAAAACAGCTTTCAGGAGATTGGTTACTTAATCCTCACAACAGTATTATGAGACAGAGTCCATGAGACGTACTCTGAGCCAGGTATTGTCTTTCTAACTGTAAGCTGATGTGATCCTCACAAGAACGGGGATAGGTGCTATGACCATCCCAATTTCACAGAGGAAACTGAAGCTCGGAGAGGTTAAGTAATTCCCCCAAAGTCATGTAGCAAGAAACTGGCGGAACTGTATTAAATCCAGTCATTCTGACCCCACGCTCCACGCTCTACCCACATTAAGAGATTCATGGTCAGTGCAATGAAACTACCTTAACCCACAGAGCAATTTTTACAATGACAGCTCAAATTCCTTAACTGTAACGGAACAGTCACATCCTTATCTGCACTAAAGGAGACTATTAATCTGAGATACACGAAATGTTTGATTCTGTCACTCTTATCTTTCGAACATTTGTAGTAGTTAACAAGTCCCAATATAATTTGGCATATTATTCAGCCTATTTAAAAGAAGATTAAATGAGCAAAAATGGACAGCCTACATAACAAAATTAGATCATTGTTTTCAAGGAAGCCAGAATAATATAGTGTATCTACTGACTATACTGTAAAAAAATTCTAAATCAGCCTAGTCTTGAATTCTTACTTACATCACTGGTATGTATGAAGAAACAAAGTGTAACAGACCAAAGATAATAAAGGAATGCATAAAGCAAAGCCTTAAACAAAAGAGAATCAAGGTTAAGAAAGCAGAAAAAGAAATTAGATTATTCTTCTTCAAATATGAACAAAGCTATTTAGGTGGTAGGCAGGTACAAGTTTATACACCAGTATCACAAAATTGAGAAATTACAGCATTCCTAATGGTTTATCATGCTGAGAGAACGCTTCCATCACCCACCCAACTCTCTCTCCTAACTTTTAACCTTAGCATAGAATCAACAAACTTACGGGCAATCCCACTTACTTTTATTGGTACGAATTGTCTGATAAACTTGACACCGTGTTCTTCCATATATTCACCAATTTTGTTGGCCATGTCCTGGTCAAATCCTCTAAGGAGAATGGACCGTACCATGACAGTGACATCCAGACCAATGCCAGCAAGAAATCCGGCACATTCCAAAGCGACATAGGATGCTCCGACCACCAGGGTCTTACCCGGGCAATAAGACAAGGAGAAAAGATCATCGCTGAAAAGAAATTTTTATAAAAAAAAAAACACAACAGAAAAATGTTCATATGTGAATAATGACCAAATCAAAGTAAAATATTTCTACTTTCTTATGAACAAGACACTTTTGAGACTTAAAACACTTAATCAGCTACACATACAATACGTAAGAAGTTTTTATGAGGTCTTAGGCTCTACCTTCTTGCCACCCAGTTGCCTGGGGAGAAACTCCAGCTGCCCTGGCCAAGCACAGCACACTGTCCAACCTCTGACCGTGAGCCAGCTCACAGCCAAAACCCTTCTCAACTGCCTGGGAAAGTTCTCCACTCATGTGGTCACTATCGTACGTTTGAAAACCTAAGCCCTCCACCCACCACTCAGCTCTCTCTGAGGTGGATGATCTGCTACTTCTCATCTGGATACCAATTACCAAGAGTGGGGAGAAGAGTGGGGGCAAACTCGACATACTGTTTTTGTAATATAAAAGGCAACGATAAAAGGTAAAATCTAAAAAATAAGTAAACAAATAAAATAGAAAGTAAAATCTGACAAAACCTTCTAGTCGAGTGAAGAGTATGGACGACATGAATGATATCACAAAAGCACTGTCAGAAAATGAGTTTTTCTAAATATGAGAAAGGAGCCTGTTCAAGCCCACAGGACAACAGCTGCCATCTGAGCCGCCCTGTTTGAGGTACAAAGGAAAAAAATATGTCCCTCCTCCCCTAAAAAAGGCCTAAAAAAAAAGAGACTACTTTATAACACAATCAGGAAATCCTGAAAAAAAGGCATCTAAGAGGACATATTTATCAACAATCTGTCTCAATGTCTTCATAATCTAAAACATCTGAAAAACAATGTCACCAGTACTAACACTTCACGTGCAAAAACAAATCCCTCAGCAAAGCCTTCTTGCTTGACTCATTTATTTCAGAAGGTCCGTCCCCACTGACACGGTAACCACTCGGACAACAGTGAATGGGGCCCAGGCTTTCATAAACCAAACGGTCTGCCATCCTCTGACTCTTTCAGTGTCCACACTGCAGGTGTGAAAGGGTGAGGGAACAGATGACCCTAGTTTTGCAAGAAATATGTATGTACGTGTGTATCATTTACAAAATGTTTATGATTATTCATCTGTTTTTTGTTTTGTTTTAATCCTCCCCCAAGGATGTGTTTATCGACTGCGGAGAGACAGGGAGAAAGAAGGACTGAGGTTGTCACCCAAATGCACCCCAAACCAGGGCTCGAACACACAACCCGGGGACGTGTCCTGATCAGAGATCAGACCTGCAACCTTGGCCTACTGGGAACACTCCAACCAACAGAGCCACCCAGCCAGGGCTCCATCTCATTTTACATTATATGTTTATAAAGTATACTCACACAACTGCAACTTTCAACATGAGCATGTATCTGTGTGTCAGTAGTGATGTAAACTCTGGGCGGTAAGATGACCAATGTTTAGAGTATTGAATTTTTTAAATGTTCTCTTGCCTAAAATAAGTTTTCCTTTCTCTTTTTCTCAATCCCCTACCCTTTGAGCAAAAATATAGCCAAAAAAAAATTGGCTAAGTTCAAGGAAACAGACAAAATGGGTTTGAAGAAAAAAGCAAAACCATACATCCACAACGGTTTTTCTTTGCTGAAGTGCTGTCCTTACCTACTGATGCAGTGTTCTTTGTCACCAGGGATGCCCAAGTAACGGGGCCTTTCACCAGTAGCAATGAGAAATCTCTTTGCTGAGTAGATTTTTTCTTTGCCTTTGTTATTCGTTGTCTACAAAGGAACCAATATGCCAGCTTTTAATAGTTGTTATCTCGTAGAAGTTATAGTTAACAAGGGCTATTCCCCTCACTGTCCAGTTTGATTCTCATAAAAATTTGGTAATACATTCCAGATATTAACGCTCAGAGTAAGGAAGGGACTTTCTCAAGGTCACAGTGCTAGTAAACGGCAGAGCCGAGACTCAAAGCCAGGCAGTCTGGCCCTGGACCTAGTGCTCTGACCCCCTACCGCACCCCAAAAAAAGCCCCGTGAGAAGGTGTGACGGCACAATCACCACATTGGACAACTCTGGGTCATGGTGGCTATTACTTTCATTAGGATAATCACCTTCTCTTTTCCTCCCCGACCTCCAACCAAAGCTTAACACAAGCAGAAGTCCCTCGGGCTGTCACACCGTTACCTTAATCCGGTGAGGACCCACAAACTGCCCGTAAGCATTCTCATAGGTGACTTTCTTCTCCCGCAGAGCCACCCGGTAGCCCCAGTTCAGGGAGCCAATGTGACTCTGGACAGCTTCTGTCATTTTTTCCCAGTCATGTTTAACTGCACAAGAAAAGAAGACACAACAGTTGAAATCCAAGGCTGAGCCACTGGAACGTTGCCCCGAGCTGGCCAGGCTGGACTTGTCTCACCTGGGTGTGCTCTCATGCCTACCACAGCAACTGGATCTTTTTTTTTTTAAATAAAGATTTTATTTGTTTATTTTTAGAGAGAGGGGAAGGGAAGGAGAGAGGGAGAGAAACTTCAATGTGTGGTTGCCTCTCACATGCTTCCTACTGGGGACCTGGCCTGCAACCCAGGCATGTGCCCTAACTGGGAATCGAACTGGTGACCCTTTGGTTCGCAGGCCCACGCTCCGTCCACTGAGCTACACCAGCCAGGGCCGCAAACGGATCTTAAGCCAACTCTGTTGCTGCTCATCTGCCCCAGCCCACTACAGAGAGCCAGGACATACCCTTCAATTAGACAATAGTAGTCAGACTAGCAAAACTACTTAGTATCTTTAACATTTTCAGTGCACTCTCCATGTGGACTTCGAAGCACCTAAATGGGCACGAATTACCTCTGCTATATACACAGGGAGATGAAGGAGGGGCAGCTTGCCCAAGGCCGCACACTAACCCAGCGGCAGACGCAGACACTTACTGTGGTAGAATATGTCCCCAAACTGCAAGCCCCCAACTACAAACCAATGAGCTGGCTTGCTTTTTCTTTCTTTTTTTTTTTAAAGATTTTATTTATTTATTTACTTTCAGAGAGAGGAGTAGGGTGAGAGAGAGAAACATCAATGAGTGAGAGATACATCCATCGATCGCCTCGCCCCCAACAGGGGTCCTGGCCTGCAACCTGGGCATGTGCCCTGACCGGGAACTGAACTGGCGACCTTGCCGTTCGCAGGCTGGGGCTCGCTCCACTGAGTCACACCAGCCAGGCCTAGCTGGCTTTCTTTGTATTGACAATGGGATCCTAAAACTTCCAAAATACTTAATATTTTAAATGTATATTTAACACTTAAGCATAGAAGTCAAAGAGAGAAATCTGAAAAAATATAAAGCCCATAAAACTTCCAGAAAAGGCCACCCATCCATTCAGTTTACACAACTGAGCTCAAGTAATTTTGTTTTTTAAGGCCTGCGACTTTCTCTGTCCGTTCTGCATTGGGAGCTTTAGGAAAAGGGCAGATGACAGGCTGCGTCCCAGACCTGTCACTCCCCCGTCTCCAGGCAGATCCAGCTGTGCCGCCCGGCCCAGGTCCCTTTCCTCCGTCACCAGCTGGGAGCAGAGAAGACAGCCTTCCCAGAAAACAGGAGCACTGTGCTTGCTCAAGGACACGAGATTAGATGTGTTTCTATGTGAAAAATGCAAAATAAGCCTTTATGGGAACATTGATCAGCAACCTCCAGGGGTTTGTCACTTGAAAACTAAATTTCCAAGTTTCCGTCTTCCTTTAAGATCTAAAGACATAAACATTTGTCTAAACCCACTGATTCTTCACCACAATCATTTTAAGTGCAAAAAAAAAAAAAAAGGGAGGCAATACTGCTCCCTCAGTGGTGGGTCCCGGCAGGCCACTCCCACAAAGCTCAGCCCTGGTTCTCACAGCCAGGCCCCAGCTTCCTTCAGAAAGCCCAAGGTTTAAAGAGAAAAGCTGCAGATAACAACAAACAAACCATGGGGCTTGATTTCCGAAGGGGGAGGGATTTAATGAGAGGACACAGCTCTGTGGCCCTCATCACAGACTGCAGGATTATTGCTTGTGCTGCTCACAAATACAAGAGGGGAAAGGTATACAACTAGAAAACCATATTTCTATCCTAACATCTGGAAAGGGGGAGGAAACACAAAAGGTAAAACTGGTAAACTGGCTGGATAAATAATTTTTATAAGAATAGACAAATAAGATAAACAACTAAGTTTTATGACTGTGAAATTCGGGGAGTTTTTGCTGGTTCTAATGTACAGATGGGGACTCTGATTGTAGTGGCTTATTACTGTTACATGACAGCGACAGGGATACTCTTTTGCTGGAAAGAAGACATCAAATTCACCAGGTTATTTTACCACCCACCTGACGATTGAGTCTATCAGATTCAACAACTCAGTTGGCCCTAGTAATAAAATCTGCCTTCAGCAGGGGCCTCTACTTACCTCTTATCTTTTCAAGATTCTAAAGACCCAGGAAGCAGCCTTCTAAGAGTCTGAGGAAAGAGCTATAACCCCAGGAAAACTTTTAAAGGAACTGATTTCTAAGATTTCAGACTTGAAAAAAAAAGTACTGCTGATTTTATAGGACAAAGAAAAGCACCAGTAAAGGAAGCATGACTAGTTCGAGTGGAAGCAAAGTTTTTCAAAGCATGTATTTACACTTGGGTTTTTTTGTTTTATTTTGTTTAAATAATAAACTATTAATTAAAACTAAAAAAAAAAAAAAAAACCAACACAAAATAATTTACCCTAGCTACTGGCTGGAAGATTTTTCCTCGGTTGTCCCATAACCCACAGATGTCACAACTAAACTCAGACTGGGGCTGCAGTGCCACACCTGGAGGGCGCAGTGACCTAGGTCATTCATGAGCCACGAAGCTGCGCCAGTCCTCACACTATTCTCCTCCCAGATGGTGCAACGTACTTTGTAGAGTCAACAAATTCCTCAGCTTTCCTAGGGCACTCTACATATTTTTAATCTGACAAAGACTAACCATCCTCTCTCTTCCCAACAGGCGAGCCATCTCTCCACCCCCAAAATACCAGCTCATGAAACAGACTTCTTTGGATCAAGAAAAATACGTGGCTTCAAAAGGAAGTAAATGTAACTTGTACTCTCCTATGAAGCTCTCTAATGATGAGAATTTATTTGAAAGAATTCTGGTTTTCTATTAAAGAAAGATACTCCAAATGCAACATCTGTTCTTACCATAATAGCTGTGTAACCACCTGACACAGAGTGTAACTGCAGTGACTTTATCCTTTTAAAACGTGAACCATAACAACCACTCCCAGGTCACCGCCAGTCTCACAGAAACGGACGATGCACCGAGAGATCACGCACGGCTCCAACTCCCCCAAAGCACAAAGGGAAGAGCCGCTCTCCCCCGTACCCATCTCCTCGACTTTCCACCCGTAGTTCCGAGAGTCTCTCAGGGCTTGTCCTAACAAAGCTGCCTGGTGCATCAGTTTCTTCGGTATGCAGCCCACGTTCACACATGTTCCTCCGAGACCTGCAACAACAGTGAGATGCCAGTTCACAGGCTGCTCCGTGGTCCTTCAGAGGAAAAGGGCCACAATGGTTCCCATTCTGAGAACCCTTAATGGAGTCAATACTGTTTGTACAAGTTTATTCCTAAGTCTTGTGACATTTCTAAGTTCAGACAGCCTTACATACCAAACAGAGCCATCTGAAAACAATACAAAAATGAGATTTCTACAACTTCCACATGCTTCAAAGGTTCAAAGTAATTGAATGCTGGTACAGATGCCAGAAATTGAAATTTTACTTTGTGCACAAGCCTGTACTTGCCACCGAGGCTGCGAACAGAACTACCTGATGGAGGGGTTGGGAAGCCGAGCATGACTGGGCTATAGTGGCTCTGAAGGTACACATAAAGTTGGGTATCTAGGAACATTTTGTAAACTGTATTTTTATTAGTTTTATTATCAAGGAGTCAACCCCTATGACCACCGTGAAGCCCAGGCCGGGTTAACAGTGACGTGTTCTGGAGGTAACCACACGCCACTCCGCACTTTCTTTCTTTCTTTTTTTTAATTTAATTTTTATTTTTAGAGAGGGAAGGGAGGGAGACAGAGAGAGAGAGAGAAACATCAATGTGCGGTTGCTGGGGGTCATGGCCTGCCACCCAGGCATGTACCCTGACTGGGAATCGAACCTGCGACACTTTGGTTCGCAGCCCGTGCTCAATCCACTGAGCTACGCCAGCCAGGGCTTACTCTGCACTTTCTGGTGAAAGCCACTCTCTTCTCTCTCTACCTCAGAAGAAAACCCAAACCCACGAGGCCTCGATCCTTGCCCTCCTATTCCTGGAAGATGTCAAAACCAACTATGTAGGAGGCGTTTTCAGAGGAGAAGACCACTCAGTCTCTCCAGAAGACAAACCCTCTACTTTGCTTTATGAGGCTGATAGCAACTCCAAACCACGGTCAGGTCGGGAGCTGCGCAGGCCTCAATATGTGAGCACTGTTTTAAATCCCCACCCAAGGACATGTTTTTATTGATTTGAGAGAGGCAGGGGGAGAGGGAAAGGGGGAGGGAGAGAGAGGGAGAAAAAAAGAAATGGGGGGCAGAGATGGGAGAGAAACATCACTGGGTTGCCACCCTGACCAGGGATCAAACCTGTAACCTAGCTACATGCCCTGACTGGAAACTGAATCCACAACTTTTGGTGTATCAGGACAACATTCCAACCAACCGAGCCACCTGGCCAGGGCAGAACCTAAATTTTTTTTTTTAGATGAATACGTTCTTTTTTTTTTTTTTTTAAGATTTTATTTATTTGTTTTTAGAGAGGGAAGGGGCAGGGAGAGAGAGAGAGACATCAATGATGTGCGGTTGCTGGGGGCCGTGGCCTGCAGCCCAGGCATGTGCCCTGACTGGGAATCGAACCTGCGACACTTTGGTTCGCAGCCCGCGCTCAATCCACTGAGCTACACCAGCCAGGGCAGAACCTAAATTTTTAACATTTAACTGGAGTCCCCTTTAACTTAGCATAAAACAGATACATGTTTTATTTTTTATTTTTTATTTTTTTTATAATTGGGTTTTAGGAGCCATTTAAACCAGAATCAAGGAAAAACCTGCTCCTACAAATTCACTTCCAAAATACTTTAAAAACTTACCCCATTTAGTTCCAAGAGGAGTTGGCGTGACAAAATCCAGAACCATCACTTTCTGGTTAAATCTGGCTGCCTCCTGGAAAATAAGATTATTAAAATGAGTTGGAAAGGTTAACAAGATAGACTGGAAATGGGATGTTAAAAATCCATGCTGCTTTTATTAGGCTACAATGCCTAAAGCATAAACAGTAACCAGTGATTAATACCTGGGAATTTCATATAATTAGTGCTACTTCAGAAAAACATTAAGCAATGCTTAGATAATCCTAAGAGTAGCTTTAAGAATATGCAGATTACAGTTATAAAATAGTCCATCAACTGGAAACCCTAGCACCCTCTTGCATAATCCCACTCAACCAGTAACATACTAAGCAACAATCTGAAAAACATATGGCTGTTTCTAAGCAAGTGTGAAGTAGCCAGTAAAACAGATTTACTGCCAGTCTACAGCCCTTGATTCTGCATGTACCCTATAATATTTTTAAGTACTTTTGCTTCTATGCAGAATATTAGAGAAGTTTTTCTGTTGAAATTGTGATTTACTAAAATCTTCATGTGAAGAGCAAATGAAAAGTTGGCATCTCTAAGGTTTCCGATTCTGTTTTAGGGGAGTGATGACAGTCAGAAGCTCATCTGGAAGAGTATCCATTATGTTTCTCAGAGAATAAGCTTTGTATACTGGCAGCTTCCAAGACGTCCAGGACTTATCTCAAGGTACTGAATCTACGTGTCTTTCTTTCTTTTTTTCTTTAAGATTTTATTTATTTATTTTTAGAGAGTGAAGGGAGATAGAGAGAGAGAGGGAGAGAGAGAGAAACATCAATGTGTGGTTGCAGGGGGCCGTGGCCTGCAACCCAGGCATGTGCTCTGACTGGGAATTGAACCTGCAACACTTTGGTTCGCAGCCCGCGCTCAACCCACTGAGCTACGCCAGCCAGGGCTCTACGTGTCTTTCAAAATCACCATCGCTCCAGCATAATTCGCACACCCAGTGTTACTCCGGAGTCATTTACAGCAGAGCCTGCTTGACACCAGCTACTGGCCTGCTCCTAATTGGGAAGCCTCTTTTGAATCTACCTTTACTGATTCACAAGCTACACCTTCAAGGAGTACAAGCACTTCATCTTTTAAAAAAAACTCTTCAGTGAGAATGATAGTTCCAAGGGCCCCTTCACACACGAAAAATGTATCTCAATTCATGGCCAGGAAGCCTCACTCCTACCTCCCTGGATCACCCCCAGGCCACAGAGCGGTTATTCTCTTAGCTCCCTTTATAAACAGGAGAGGCAAATCACTTTTACTGGGCTTAAGAAATCCAACTGCTCTCCATCTTTCTTTTGGGGAGAAGGAGTTTCGAACAGGGAAATCAAAGTGAAAAAACATTAATATTTGGCCTTGGCTGGTGTAGCTCAGTGGATTGAGCATGGGCTGCGAACCAAAGTGTTGCAGGTTCGATTCCCAGTCAGGGTACATGCCTGGGTTGCAGGCCATGACCCCCAGGAACTGCACATTGATGTTTCTCTCTCTCTCTCTCTTTCTCCCTCCCTTCCCTCTCCAAGAAAATAAATAAAATCTTTTAAAAAATGACAAAGAAAATTAATATTTATTTAGAAATATATATATTTAATTTCATTATCTTTGAAAAATCAACCAAACTTACAATGAATGAAAATGCATCCAAAACACTGGGCCCAGTACTTTCATGTAAAGAACATATAGTTCAACCTGGAAAAGTGACTGATAAAATGGTCCCCTTAACATGTTCCACCCAAGGTAGTGTGCAAAGTGGGACAGGAGTGGCTCAGACAAACCCCACGGGGAACCTGGAGACCTGACGCGACTCGCGTCTCACACAGGGAGCCTTGCCTTGGCGGCTGCCAGTCCTCCAGAGCCCCCTCCGATGACGATGAGGTCATAGTCGTAGGACTCGGGGAGGTCCTCAGAGCCGTTCATGGTTAGTAGCTTTTGAAGACTGCCCTCCTGATAAGCCTGAAGAAGAAAAACAACGAAAAGGAAAAAGCTTTCACTTAAAAGTGGCAGTGCCTGAAAAGCCGCGTGAGGAAACCTTTCTTTAAAGAGAAGCCAAGGGAATTTTCACAGGCAACGATGTTGTTTGATTTACAGGACAGCACACAAGTGGAAACGTTCGACCTTCTCACATCGCAGAGAGCTACTGTGAAGTGTCGCCTGAGCAAGGTCCCAGTGGCCCGGCGACATCCGTCTAGGCCTAAATTAAGTTTGAGTGGCCCTCTTATCCTAGCACTTTTAAACTAGGTTTTTAAACCATTTTTACTGTATGTCTTTTAATAGAATCATTGATACAATTTGTCAATTACCTTTCCTTTCTAGTCAGAGGTGGAATAATGAGTGGGCTTACATCTCAGGTGACGACAGGGGCCCAGCAAATAGCAATGAGGACAGAGTAACCAAATACTTAAGGGTTTTCTGCATTTTTTGGGTAAGGCCTCAAGTCCAGAAAGTCAGAACTAAATCGTGAACTGACATACACCTGCAGAAAAAGTTAAATGTAAAAGTTCCTGCTTTTGCATAATAAACAAAAGGGGGGATACATAAATAAACACGGCTCTATGAGGCTCGCTTCTTTACCTATGTGCAGAGCCTCCTATGTACTATTAGTACTATTATTTAGTTTCCATGTACTTAACACATAACAGACTTTATGACTGTTAGACTTTTAATTGTATTTTTTATGATGAATATTTCTGTTTTTTATTTTTTATTGTATTTTCCTCATTACCTTTTAGTTCCCTTATACCCACCCCATGTAGACTTTTAGATTAAAAAAAACCATTTCATGCCCCTAGTTTTTATATACATTATTTATCATTTCTTATTAGTTCTGAATACTGTTTTGGTGATATATTTTATATTACCTTTTATTAAAACAAAAATCTGTGCTAACATGAGATAAAACCTGGTAACGTTAAAAAAACATTTTTTTTTGTGATACTCATTAAAAATCAAGTTTTAACCTTCATACAAAAAAGCCCCGAACTTACCAGCCCAGACTGTACATTTTTCTCCTGCCTACCATCAGGTGTGGGGGGTGAGAGGCAGAGCTTGGGGTCAGTAGAACAGGATGCTTGGGGCGTGGGAGGGGGTGCAGTGGAGGAAGATGGTGGAGGAGGAGGAGGAGGCGGAGGCGGAGGCAGCACAGCAGGAACACAGGGGGGCCCGGGGACGGGAGGCAGGACACAGGGACACCAGCGACAGTGGGGACAAGACCGCGTCACCCAGACCGTCTGTACAAAAGGTCTAACATGAGTGGCTGGCAAGCACAGCCAGTATTCATCAACTGGCATTGTGGCACAGGGTCCTCCTTCGGCACAGGGCACTGTGGGGGGAAAAGAATTTGGAAATGACAGCTATTCGGATCAAAGGATCAATGCAGTCTTCAGACAGCAAGCGTTACTCTCTAGTTTGTCTGAAAGAGCACAAAGCTGACTTGCTGGTTTGAAAGAATTAATTAAGTACAGCTAGGTGTTCTTCTGGAAAACAACTATATTTAATCTCAGCCTCGCTTTATCTGCATGTACTTAGCGCAGACGGTGCCAGAACACATCACTGGCTGTATAAAACCACTGTTTCCGTAACCACCTCCCCCAACATATCTATTAGAACAGGGAAAAAATGCACTGTCATGCTGAAAAGCCACATACTCCCTCCAACAATGTTTATAATCTGTTCTGTACTGAAATTCTGTATCAGAGGGTCCAAGGTTAAAGCCAAATTATACCAACCAGTGCACACACTTTACAAAGAAAGCTCTGAGTGAGCCTGAACATTTTTAACTGTAGTATCAGTAAGACATAGGCAGCTGAAACATTCCCCTGACCCCAGGACTAAACATGGTATCTTTAAACTTGAATCTAACTCGAAAGTGCAATTGCTGTCATTCAGCTCCAGGTAAGTGGTCTCCCTCCTGAAACATAAACAGGGTGGACAGTAGGAGACAGGCAACACGAGGAAGGAGCGTGCAGATGGGGGAAGGACACAAGAAAAAACAAATGCTCTCCCCTCCCTCCTCCAATTACAACTGCTAGAAATAGTGGCTGCTGAACATAGCAGCTGATACAGAAGAGGAGTTTGCACTTTTTAGTCTCAGGATCCCTTTACAGCCTTAAATTATTTAGGATCCCGAAGAGCTTTGGTCAATGGAGTTTGTTTATAACATTTAGCATATTAAAAATTAAAACAAAAAATTCAAATATTTTCAATTATTAAAGTATTACATTTCTTAAAGGTTGTTAAACATAATTTATTTTAAAACTTTTAATTAGTAAGAAGAGTGGCGTTGCTTTGTACAGTATCTTTGTAATTCTCTTTAATGTCTGTCTTGATAAAAGGCAGCCCGTATCTTTTCTGTGTCCACTCTGTTGCAACATCACTTGTCATGTATGTAGCTTCTGGAAAACTCCATGGTAGATTTGTGAGAACTCGAGTGAAAAGGACAAACAGGGCTGTAGTACCGTGAAGGTATTTTTGACCTCAGGACTCCCAGAGAGGGCCTCAGCGGGACCCAGACCACCCTGGGGACCACCACAACAGGACGTCCGTGCACACGCACGCAGGACACCTCATCTGCGGCTGTTTGCAGGCTTCCCTGGTGGCCGCTCTCCCCTCTCTTCATCTGCCTCTCAGCAACGCCTCCCCCCTCCCCCCACCCGCCCGCCCCAGTAAAACACTGCTCCAGATTCCCCGAAAGAAGGCCAAAAGCAATTCAAGTGTACTGGATTTCTTTAAAATTAGAGTAAGTCATATTTATTTCCCCCAAACAGGATTTCTATCCTTAGACACAGATTTATACTGGGGCTTCTTACCATTAGACCTGAGTTCTGGTGTTGAACTATTATAAAACACTTGCTCTACTGCTCTCTAAGCCAGGTAACTTGCGCTAATTGCTTGTTTTTAGAAGTCCCTGTCTTTTCATTTGCAGTTAACATACCCCTGTAACGCACCAAACTGCAGTTTAAGTGAGATCATACATATGAGCACAGTGGCCGGGAGGAAAACCCCCTGTAAGTGACTGACTCTCCGCTACCCAGAGAAGGGAACCCGCCTGGGACCACATACAAAAGTCCTGGAGTGTTTAACAGATGCCCCTTGCACTTCCCTGCACTGCCCCCTACGTGAAATACCCTCTTCTGGTCAAATCCTGACCCAGTACATAGGCAGACTGAGAGTTCAAGGGTCCTTTTATCAATACTCTAAGAGCCCAACGTCCATTTCCTCCACTGTCCCCCTGAAGTTCCCAAACCACACTCTCCTTTTCTTTCCTGCAGCATTTTATTCACACACAGTGTCAGGGCACTTAGCACAGGCTGTTCCACCCCATTTAATCCTCACCATAGTCTTCCAAGCAGATGTCTTTCCCATTTCAGAAATGACAATCCAGACAGAAGCCCTTAAGAGATGAAGAGCCTTGCCCATTGGTCAAGAATGGAACTCAGCTCTGTAAGAGTATAAATCTCTTGCTTTTCTCACTTATACCATACTCAGTTATTCATATTTCAAAGTACTTGTCACATACATTTTCTAATTTTATCCTTACTGTGAATTTGCGACTGGTATTATTCCCACTTAGTAAATCAAAAACCGAAGGTTTACCGGTTCAGTAATTTGCCCAGAGTCTCTACTGGAATGTTAAAGGGTCAGGATCTGACCCCAGGTCCTTCAATCACAAAATGGTTGTTACCTACCAAAGTTCTGATAAAAAATATTTTTTTCCTGTAATATTCTTCAGTTGATTTTATTGAACTTGTGAACTTTAAGCCACTCCATTAGTGGGAAACCAGCAGATATGCAGTTCAGTTGATACCTAATCTCTATAATTAAATTATCTATTGGTCAAGTCTCCTCTTTCTTCCAGGTAAGCAAGCAGTCACTTTAATTTCAAAGTGACGAGGTGACCCAGGTATCATAACCAGTAAAAACAAAAACAAGAGGTGGACTTCATTTATATCTTACCAGCTACAACTGTAGAGAAGACCCCAAACCTTTGCGTTCTCTGTTAATGCTTCTAGTCATCACCAAGTCTCAACCACTCTGAGTCAAGACACTGGGCATTTGACAGAGCAATCTGGTGGCAAGGAAAGAACGGAAACAAGACTGTTTTGCTCTCATTTTAAGAGTACCTTTTCCTCAAGCAGCAAATCTCTGGAAACCAAGGAACTCAGTTAGTGAGGACATGCGAAAGGGAGGAGCAAGACGGAAAGATGCTCTCCCCACTGCTAAATAAAAGGGTGGCAGACACTGGGAACAGGCAGCATTCCTTCAGATTTTTGTGTGAACTAATCTGTCTAAATGAGGAACTGCGGGGAAGGTCAAGGGTCAGGACATGCAGAACCTCCACTACACACTGACTGCAAACTGGAAGGGTTCATCTGCTAGGAAAATAATTGGCCGAGTCTGGTGAGAAATTTCTTTTTTTGCTAAAAACCTTCACTATTACTAAAGAACCTTTCCCTCTGCCCCCACCTCCCGCCACCCACATATAAGATCTCTCCGCTCAGTCTGACGTCATTCCTTTAGCCTTTGGATTTCCCTCGGAGTACCACACTAGACTTAACAGGAAAATTTACCATTACTGCTATGCAAAATGCTTATCCACTTGCCAAATAATGGCAAAATCCACCAGTACCAAAGTAAAGTCCGATAGGGATGGGGAAAAAAGGTTTATTGGGATGCTCTCTCTACCTTCAAAAACTGTTTTTTTCTTAAAGACTTAAAAGTTTTGGCAATAACCTCCAAATAAGGATGTAATTTATATTTTTAAAACAATCGAAAGTAACAAAAAGAAAAAATGATGGCTGTATGAATAAATTAATCAATTATTTCAGGTTAAACAGGAACAGTTTCCAGGCACTTAAAGTCCTATCAAGAAATGCAAAACTGAATTGAGAACAAATATTCAAGGTTGTTACATAATGAAACATCACTGATTTCTCAAGCACATTCTGTGTACTAGCAGAAGTTACAAAGAGAAACTAGGGACCAGGGAAGAAATTAACCAAGCAGATAAAGACTAGAACTGGATGTGAAAAGATGTTGTTTGAAATAATCTGACAAAAATATCATCTACCTCTGAGAACTAATCGACAAAATAAATGAATTTTTGCCCAGTTTAACATTCAAATGGAACAGTTAAAATAGAAGAAGTTATGGTTCTCTGGTGCCGTACCTTCTCATGATTCCATGTATTTGGCTTCTGTGTGCCCTGCCCAGTATATTGTTCCTACCTGTGGCCAATCCCTACTCACCTTCAGCATTTAGTTGATGCCTCACCTAATACAGTAGATACCCTATTGCTTTGGAATCTAATCACAGAAGAATTATTTAGAATACGGATACCCACTAATTAATCTGAGTCGTCCTAGCAATGGAACAAGACAACTATTTTTACAATGTTAATACTGCATATTTACTGACCTACTGATAGTCTCTCTTTACCTTTTATTTTTTACCTACTCTTTCCCCAATCTGATTAGGAGTCCCATATGGGATTCCCTTCATTCCCTGTAACAGAGGAACACAGTAACACAGAGCATCATAACTAATTTGTTTTTGTAAATACCAAATACCTTCTAATTTCTGAAATTTTGAACTGATTTTATTAATAAAGTCTTAAAGGACATTCAAAAAAATTTTCCATGAACATGCCACTAATTTTTTTTTAACAACAGATCATGACAACTTTATAAACTACCAAGAAAAAAAAATACACTGCACAGTAAAACAATTTCTGATGTTCTGGAAAATACTTTTTCACTTTACAAGAGGTACAATATGTGCTTCTGTTTGGATTTTACACTCTATTTTGAGATGCTTTAGAAAAGCCACAAAATGCACCCTATACTAAGAACAAGAATATTTAGTAGGAGTTTGTGATCATAGCCTCTGAAATTTCAAAAGTCGCCACGATATTTTTCCAGTCCTGTAAACTCAAAGATATAACTCCTTGTTTCCGGCCATGGGAACTGGGGTCACTTCCCTCACCCACTTGGTTAATATTAATTGGCTCTAATATTGGCAGCCTGTCTTGGTCAAGCCTTATTCTTGCGAAACCATCCCTTATAATGAAAGAAACATAAAATATATTCTCCACAGTACGAGAAAAAGACTTTGGATCAACCACAAACTCAAAATAGGACACAGGAGTATCAGGATACTTTCGAAAGTACGTCTGCAACAATCCCAAGATTCTTTCCACTTCTTTTTCTGTGGCTTCTTGATTACTACTCAGGTCCAGCCTCCTCAGCTTTGTAGGCATATCCCCATTTTCTTCCATTCTGTGAGCTTTTTTATGGTGTTCAGATCGGTGTTTTGGTGCAGAAGAATGCGACTTGAATGAACCAAAGATAAAGTGGAATGTTTCAGCTCGCAACATCCAGGACGCTGCTTCTTTGTGCACTGTCTCCCAGAAGGAAAGAGCTATATTATCATCACAGCCGCTCAACTCGTTGTGTTCATCATCTTCCATCCAGTTCATGCCCACAAATATAAACAGAAAGTCACAAAACGCAACCTGATTAAAATAGTTCATATCAGAATTTAGCTGCTTGGCTTTTTCTTTACCCAAATCAGAAGCCAAAACAAGAAACTGGGCATCGAGAGCTGCTTCTCTTGTTCGGCTCACCCCATCGAACAGGACATTGGCTTCCTCCAGAGCCTCGGTTAAGGAGTCGCTCGCCGTGTTCACTATGTCTTCACGGTTCTGCTGCACGTTATGGATGAGCTGCCGGTACTGCTTGCGGATATTCCGGCACTTCTCCTCGTCGGCCGCAAGCCCCAGGAGATTTGGATCTATGTGGGCCTCCCCGAAGCTGAAGTCGTCAGAGCAGCCGTCAGAGCAGCCGTCAGAGCAGCCGTCAGAGCAGCTGTCAGAGCAGCCATCGGCCCCCAGCGCCACTTCCACCTTCATGGGCTCTTCCTCCTCCTCCGCCGCCTGCTTCACGGAGTACGCGCTACCGGTGACGGTACGCACCGCCGGCTCCTCCGCTTTCTCCTCGTGTCCCCTCAGGGAATCCTTTTCATCTGTCATGCTGGTGACCGCGGGAGCTCAGCTAGCGCTCTGCTAACGGCCTGCGCAGGGTTTCCGACAACGGCGGAAATTGAATGGGTCCGTCAGAGCGGAGGCTGCCGAACGCCCATGCGCCCCGGCGGCGTCGCCAGGAAGCCCCGCCCCAGCGCACGCCGCCAGAGCAGCACACGCGCACAGCACAGACGGGACAATGCATCCCAACCCTAGGCTCCAGGAACCTCCGCTCGAGCGAGAGGTGTTCTTTTGGCGTTTACTGACAGTGTCACGTAGCTTTCAAAGAAACACCTGGATGATCTATGACAAAACCGAGGGGAAACTAAAGGTCCTGCAGTTTAAAGCACTTGCTGTCACGTATTGCAGTTAAGTCGACCTTCATCTTTCATTCTTACTATGACTCAAAGGATCTTTATTTTTATTTTTTGGAAAACTAAATCTGGCCAAGTTACAAACTGTCCCTATGGCCAAGGAGCTTGAGGCGCAGAACCACTACCCAAACAGGCGGAATTCTAAGGGTCTATTTGCAAGGTGGTTGTTTGTAACTCAATTCATTATACAAATGTAAATTGAGTCAATTACTTTCACGGGCCCTCAAAAGCCCTCAAAGGCCCAACATCCTCTAACCTACCCCATGGGAGGTCGAGGGTATTCACAAAGTGTATTTCAGTGCTAGAGCAAGCTAAAAAATGGGGGCGGGGCGGGGCGGGGGCGCGAGAGGTGTTACACAGGTGATCTTTGGTTCCACCATCCAAGGGTGGTGGAAGGATAAAGTGAGTACATTCTCTGCAAAAGAGCTGTTTATTTGAAAGCTGTGAAAAGCTAAAGGCCACAGATTGAATGGATAGTAACTCTGAACCCTAAAAGGTGAGCAAAGCTGTAAAAATTTTAAACACAATTTGTTATATGAATATAAAAGTGAATGCTGTAAATCAGGCGACTAACCTAGATTGGAAAATTCACCCACCAGTTTACTGGGAATTCCAGTACAGCTGGAGAAAGGCCTCTGCTGAGCAGTCACATGAGCAGCAAGTACACATAACATTAAAACGGAATAATCTGGTTTTAAGTAGGGGTAATAGAGGAAGAAGCGTACATTTTTCAAAAACACCACACATTATGGGTACTTGTGCATATATATTATTCTACCCTATTATACTGCTGGCTTCTCTAAAGCAAGAAGGTGGCATATAAATCTTCCAAGCAAAGCTGTTTTCACATGGATGCGTTTGAGTATGCACATCTGAATGTATAAATGAATGTAGACGAAAAACTTTGGTCCAACACTATTGCAAGTTACTTGGCAAGAAAAGATTTAATTGCAGAGAACAGCTTTAGAGAATGAAATGCTCTTGCTTTTCATTTTACTCATTGAAAATAAAAGTTGACTGATGTTCAGCCTTACCCTTCTCGGAAAAAAGCAAGAGCAAAACAAAGTTGGGGCCCAGGATCAAGAAGGTGCCACATTCTGCCCCTAAGTCTGGCCAATTACAAACTGATACTTAAATCTGTTTTAAATCTTGGATGAAAACACATAGCTAATTCCAACTCCCAAATCCAAGTCATGTTTGCTTTTATCGTTAACCATATTCTTGGGAACTTCCAAAACCCACTTCACATTCCATAAAAGTAACTCAGAACTCCAAAAGGTAAATCAACCTTCCCACCCTAAGGTGCCTATTTTCTCCTGGCTCAGAGAAGGGAAAACAGGCCGATACCGATTTGCTCCATACGGACCCTTTCATCTAAGAATTTCAAAATGCTTTACAAAAGTAAATTAATTCTCCTAACCTACTTATAAAGTATTACTAATACTACTTACAGGGATTTCTCAGGAGATAACAGCCCACACAATTCGCTTAAAGCAACAGAACACATAACGACAGCACCATATTATTAAGCTGTGATTTCCAGTGCTTAATTCATTCTATGCTACATCTCTGTCCCTAAGGAAGCTCAGTAACATGCAACTTAAATCATCGTCATTAAGCCACGTTCACATTATATTCTGCCTTCTTAAATCTGCCTTTAGAACACGAGATTCAGATGTAGCCTCAAAGTAAAAATTTCACGTCTAACGATGGTTTTCCCTAATCATTTATAGAATGGGAATTTCTACACTTGTGAATCTTTAAATCCCTAAACAGTGACTTTCTAACCTAAGGTCAAATTACTGGTAATAATTGTATAAATGCCACTTTAAAAAGGAGAGAATAGCAACACAATTTTAGTTATACTGGTAAACTCCTCTGTGACTTGTAACAGAAAGCAAAAAAGCACCATTACTCAAAGAAATCACTAAAGTCTACCCTCTTCATGCAGTAAGACTGGTACAGGCAACCAATGGCACGCAGCTCGGCCTCCAAGACAATTCAGCTCCTCTCCTCCCCCTTTCCTCCTTCAGGTGTTGCTGCCAAGAGCTCCATGGTCTTCCATTTCCTTTCTTTCTTTCTTCCGTTTTCCCTCCTGCATTATTTTTCAATCCCTTTGCCAGGCGTTCAGATTCATTCATTCCAAGCATTCTTAAGCTCCTCCCCACAACCCCCAGTGCTCAACACAAACATGAAAGGATGGATGTCATCAATTACAGGTCTCTCTCTGGCCAAATAAAAAAAGAACACAGATAGGGTCCACTGTCTTTCCCAGTGGGATTTTTTTTTTCAGGATCACTCTAAACCAGGGGTGTCAAACTCATTCTCACCAGGGGCCACATCAGCTTTGCGGTTGCCTTCAAAGGGCCGAAATAATTTTAGGGCTCTGTAAATGTAACTACTCCTTCACTGTTAAGGAGCTGAAATTACATTCGGCCGTTTGAAGGCAATCACCAGCCTGATGTGGCACCTGGTGAACATGAGTTTGACACCCCTGTTCTATAACAGGTAGATGTTTAAGAGTTTCAGTCCTGCACTCTGGTAAGAATTATCCTGCCATCTAGCCACCGCCCTAAACATTTTTGTTCCTTCTTTCACAGCACATTCTCTCCTCTCATCCTGCCCAGATAACTATTTCATATTGAGCTGTAAAGAGATGTGGTAAAAGTCCTAGTTTACCACAGATTTGTCAGAGTAGCAGAAGGCAAGGTATATTTTCTTTTCCTTCTTAATTTCCTTTAAGTTTATGTTCCTGAATGTGTACTTTGCTTTGACTGATTTTTAGTATTAATGGCAAACTTTGCTACAACCAAGCAAATGAGTTTCTGAGAGACCATGAATAGTGAGGAAAGAGGCAAACCTGGGTTCCAGTCATGACCCATTAGCCACTAATGTTACTTTAGCCAAGTTGCTTAACCTCCAGGCCTCCAGCTTCCTCATTAGTAAGAAGGGAATACTACTATTTACATCATTGTTACTCTGTGTATTGAACGAGAATTATGTGATAGATTTGATAATATGTACAACTACTTAGTATTTAATAAATCATACATTATCCCAAAGATAGCAAATGTTTAATAAACACTAGATACCAAATAGAAAAATATATATACAAACCAGTATCTTTAACTCATTGATGTTGTTTTAGAAACAGAAAAATATTTTAAAGGTTGAATCCATAAGGAGGAATAAAGGAATATATATCCCACTATAAGAAATACCAGTGAAAAGAAATTTGCCATATAATAAAATTTTAAAACCTAAGGTTTCACCTAATGGAAGTGTGTACAGTACTTTCAAAGGTAAACCAATCTACTAAATATTCTGAAGCAGATCCACAAAAAGTCTGGGACCATATGCAAAATTATTTATGTATCTTTTTCTCCTGAATGGCTCCTTGGATTTCAGCAGTATCCAAAAGAGGTTTTGAATAACTATTCTATTCAAATAATATTGCTTTATTGGTAGTGGAATAAAAGATAAAAATGACAGTCAGGCTCCACAAAATGATTTGGAGCCATTCACTGAAATATTTCAGAGCATATAAAACCTCCACCCCTACTCTGTGGTAACAGTCACACACTTAACTGCACTTCGGCAAACCCAGTAGGTCTGACCTGCCAAGCCTCAAGAGCTAATGTAAACAAGGGTGTGACAAGAGGACAATAGAACCTTTCAGGTTGTAACAGCAATTATCAACTCTCTGGGGACACCTTAGCAGTGACCAGGAAGATTGTTTTGATGGATGAGGTGCAGGAAAGGACCCAGTGTGTGGCTTTCAAAGGAGGCAGCCTGGAAGGAACGCTGCTGTGGAGGCCTGAGTTCAAATCAAAACTGTATCAGTTTCCACTTATTTTCTTCAGTGTGAATTTCCCCAATTGTAAAATGAGTCTAGTGAATGTGTTCTCTGCCATGTAGAGTGGTTGTGACTCTCAACAAAAAACCACATACGAACACTGCAGGCAGATGCATTCTAACGTACACACACTGCCCCGCAGACTTGTGTGAGAGATAAGAGAGTGCCTAGCTCAATGTCGGGAACACAGGTACTCCATAAATCATAGCGAAGTAGACGTGATCTGACTTGCTTCTCCACTGACCTGACACACGTGCTCAGGCAGCTGAAGGTGGACAACACGGCCATCGTACAGCTCTTCGAAACTCTGAACTGCTTCACATGCTTCCTAGACTCCCTCCTGAGCATCTGAGGGCTTGGTCTCTGACGAAGACTGCCCACCTTCACAAAATCGGCATCTTATAGCTAAACACCTTACTTCAGTGAGTCTCCTATAGCCATGGTCCATCCACTCAACAAATACTAACCGAAGGCATACTAGTTGTTAAAACAGAGAAGATATAAAACTAAATCATCTCTGTCCTAAAGGAAGCTAAATTTAGTAGGCACAGAGGAATGCAGTTCCACTCAGCAAGCATCTAATGAATGAATTCCAAGTGGCCGGAGCTATGCTAGGAATACCAAGATCTGCATGGAGTCAGCCCTGAATCATGAGCACCCACCACACTCGGGAGATCAGGCGTGGATCCCAATGGCAACAACACAAAGCCTAGTGCCAGAAGCGTGAGTATATCTGAGTGAACTTTATACACAGGCCTGGGTTCCATTCCTGGCTCTGCCACTTAATTACTATGTACTGGGCATACTCCTTAAATTCTCAGGGCCCATTTTCTCATATGTAAAACTGGATGATAACTCACCTCCTTCATAAGATTACTGTAAGGATTTAATCAAGTAAGTATTACAGTGCTGAGAGTCTTTTGCATAGTAAGGCATTCAATAAGTGATAGCTATTATCATTAATAGGCATGTCTTAAATATTTGCTGAGCTCCATCTAATATAGACCTGGGATCACAGGCACAAAGAATACAACTAATGCTCTACTTTTGATATAGAAGCCAAAAAAAATCATTGGTGGGCTCCCTCCTTTTCCACAGAGAATTTATGGAAGTGCTGTGGGAGGACAGAGGGGGGAAAGAACGGGCAACTCTGGCCTTGTACTCTAAAACAGGCCGTGGGAAAAGTGAGTTTGAGCAGGAGGAACTCAGGAAATGAAATAAAGAGCAGAATGAAAAAGGGAAATTTGAGGGACTCTAGCTGTAACAGCATTGCCAGGAGCTTCCTGTAGGTAAGGGAGCAGAGCAGAAGGTAACCAGAGAAGTAGGTGGGGCCGCAATCTCTGAGGCCAAAACACCAAACTAAGGGATGTGCACGTGAGCACGGATGCAGATCTGGGGGCAGCAGAGAAGCAATCAGAAAGGTGATTCTGACAGCTAATGCACGGGAAAGGGAAAGAGATCAGAAGTGGAAAGCAAGTTAGAGACTGATGAAATGGTTTGAGCAAGAGGATGTGAGCAGCTGAAGCAGCCTGGGCAAAGCTAATAGAGGTGGCAGGCACGTCCATGGGAAACAGGCCCTGGTAAGTGGACAGACAGGACAGGTCAGGAAATCTGAGCCCCGGACCACCAGAATAGTGACGTACTGTAAAAGAACAGCTACACAGCAGAAAATGGTTTGGGTTCTCACTGGGTTACAGTGGGAGGAGCGGGCACTGGGTCTCAACATGGATTCACAACCAGTAAAACTCTGACTATATATGATCAGCACCAGATACATTCATTTGCAGACTTAACCATCTATGCCCCCTTTAAATTGTGTTAGTCTTGACGCTTTCCTTATTTTTAAGTAAATCAGAGCCTGTTCTCGCCCCTCATCTTCAAAGCAGTCCTTCGATTCTCCTCAGACCTCAACCTTAAGTAGGCCAGAAGCAGGGACACTGCTCATCACCACCCTTCAGCGGACAGTCCTGTGGCAGGAGTGCCACCACACTTGCCACCAGCCAAGGGGACACTTCTCTCTTTTCCCTGCACCCAGTTGTTAATTCTGGGCTACAAGAGAGGCACCTGAAGAGAAATAAACCCACTCAAGGAACTTCCTGGTGGCTCTCCCCCCACCCCCACACTTGGGGTTTCTGGGTTTCCTTCCCAGAGAATTAAAAGGAAGTTACAGACCAAAAAGGTAAGCATTATCTGGTCCCCTTTTCTCAGTACTTCCTCCAACAAACAAGTTTACACTTCTTCTAAAAGTTTTCAAGGTATTTAGATGTCCTGGGAGGGAAAGAAGAAGGGACAGATCCCAGATGGAAATGTCTCAGAGGAAAGAATCTGAAGAAATAAAGTTTTCTGCCAGTTTCGGTACAATATTAAGAGAGAAAGGGAATGGCTGGAGAGTTACTAAATTCTCACTCACCTCCTGGTGTCTGTTCAGTTAAGACTCTGGTTTCTGGAAACTGCAGAAGTTAGACTTGGAAGAAGGAGACGTGCCTTTGTTTCAATGCCCACCCCACCTCACGGGGCTGGAAAACGGGGCTATCTGACTGCTACAGGATCACCTCTGAGCTCCTCCCACAACTGTCTCCGCAATTCACCTGGATTGTTCATCATGCACTGATGTGTGTCTGTCATCTCTCCCATTATTGCTTCGAAGAAATTAACTCCCATGTTGCCAGTTTTAGCCTTATCTCCCAAAACTAGTTCCCCAAACTGCTTAAGTCTAAGTAAGTCCAGAACTTAGTATTCCAATAAGCACTTTTTCATTCACTTTGCTTTTCTCTATTTCACCAGAGTGGTTTCAACACTCTGGAATCCTGGAAACACTGATTTACATACTGGGTTCCCTATAAAGAATACTTGCAATCCTGCCCTTAAGAACTAAAATGTTCATGAAAGCCAGGTGTCCTCGAACAACAGGAGCTCCATTTATAGTTCTCTGAACTTAGTAGCTCTCCAATTCCAATTTTACACATCAACATACAAGTCCTAACATATTTCCCTATTTTTCTGGTCAGGTATAAATTGTTCCCTACTGAGTTATCATTTGCTATCTTCTAACTATTGCATTTTGGGTGTCAAGAGTAGTCCTTGGTTTTCCCTACTTCTAACTATTTACCAACTGATCCTGACCAAACTACCTTATGCATTAAAGTAAGTCCCAAATTTGGTTATTGATCATAAGAATGACTTGAGGGGGCTTGCTAAATACATACATACATACATACAGACAGGCAGATTCTAGCCCCTTCCAGAGGGTTTACTCAGCAAGGCCTCAGGTACAGCCCAGGCGGGCATGTTTAATAAGCACTCCAGAGGATTTGGTGCAGTGATCCAAAGACCACTGTTTTTCGTAACACTTTTAAACACTTTCCTGTAGGTAGTCATCTAAGCTCATCAGTTTCTTCTAATAGGATTCTCACTCCCATATCTCCTACAGTAAGTGCATTAAAAGCAGGGTGAGTTCTGTTGCTGCTGTTATTGAGGGGGAAGGGAGACAAAGGAAGAGATGAGGAGAAAGGAGAAGCAGACTTTTTTTAAAAGTCCCCTCTCCATAATCTATGCTACAATCAGAGTATGAAATCTTAACCTTTTTTAAGGTGTGGACCTCAAGATTTTAACACTAATCCTGTAAGCACTCAATTCTCCACTAAATAAATGCCTTTCTCCACTCAAGCCCAATATTCCCTAAAGAATTTCAGAACCCACCATTTAGCCCCAAATATGGGCAATATTTGGCTGGAAATTCACAAACATTTCAAACCAGCAGTTCTTACCAGTAGTCTCTTCCTCCATTCTTTAGTACTCACTAAAAACCAAAAATAAACCAAACAATACAAAGCTGAATGGTAAGTCTACTTAAAAGAGATGTGCCAAATGATCTAATTATAAGTTGATGGTGTGCGTGCCATTCATGGAATTGCACTTCCCCAAATGGCTGGAATGACCTGCGATCACATGGAATTGAAAACATCAGATCATATCAATAAAATGGGTCCAAAGCTCATAAACAGTAATTCTTTTTACTCCCACTGAAGTTAAAACCAGGACCATCTGTAGAATTTATATGACGATCAAATAACTTGTAAGTGCAATTTTTATGACACAGGTGGAACACAGAGATCAATCAGACAGGAAGGAATATTAATAGATCTTTGTCTTATTTTCCCTGCAAACTAAAGGTCTGAGTAATACAATCGTTTTAAATCAAGCCTTATTAGCTCTTTATTTTCCATTAACTTGCTATTTGTCTTTGAAGTCTACCTCCATTTCCTATGCCCATTTTTCAAAAACGTACATGAAAGTCTTTTAGAAAAAAAGGTAACTAAAAATGCAAATCAGTTGCTAATATCCTTCCTAAAGAGACACACATCTAAATAGACTTTACAAGTAACTGAGGCCTCAGGTTTACTTTCTCAGAAGGAAATGTTCGAGTTCCATTTCTTAAAAATTACATAAGCCACAAACAGACAAGGACAAAAAAAATAATTAGCAGAAATCAAAGAGGTATCAAGCTGATGGGATTATGAGGCTTTCTAACCTGGTAACCAACCAGACCTGATGTAGATCATCCATGAAACTACATCCCCCTAAACAGGCAGCCAGCCTCTTGGTATTCTGCCAGTGCCCTAGGCCATGACCCATTCACCCCTCAGGGGATGGAGCAGTCAAAGGAAACCCTTCTCCCTCTTCCCTCCACCCAAGTGTTAACCCTGGGTTACAAAAAAAGACACCTGGAGAGAAATAAACCCACTCCAGGAACTTCCTGGTGGGTCTCCCCTACACCTAGGGTTTCTGGGTTTCCCTCCCAGAGAACGAAAAGGAAGATAGAGACCAACAAAGATAAGCATTTCCTGATCCCCTTTTCTCAGTACTTCCTCAAACAAGTTTACACTTTTAGAAGTTTTCAAGTTATGTAGATTACTGGGAGGGAAGGAGGAAGGGACAAGAGGAGGAAAAGGACACTCAATAACTCACTTTAAAAAATGAAAATAGTTACACATACCCTTCCCCAGTTCAGACATTTACCCAACGTTTCATCAACTTGGACTAACACGTGACCTAGCCCCTGTGCGTTTCTGGGTCTTGTTCTAAGGATGGGCTCCCTCTGAAAGTTCGTTCACGTCCATCCACCCTGGCTTTGAAAGTTGGTCTGCGACCACGCTGGGCTCCTTCCCAGCTCAGGCGGGCGAAAGAAACGTTCGTGACTCCCACCTACCTTCAGGGTTGGACCATAGCCGCCTAGCTTTCTCCGTTTCACAAACACCACGGGTACGTTGGTCTCCGAGGTCTGCTCGGCCAGCGCTCGCTCGAGGCCCAGCCCGTCCTCTGTGGCACAGAAGCAGAGAGGGGAGCGGGTCAGGCTCCCCGCCCAGAGCCGCGGCGGGAAGTACGCGGCGGGGGCGGGGGCGGGGCTTCCGCGCCCCAAGGGCGCGCCCCCAGGCCACCCGCACTTGCCGCCTTCCCCGCAGAACAGCGCCACCCGCCCCAGCCCTCACAGCGACCTAGGCCTGGGCTCAGGCTCGGACCCTGGGCCGGGTCCACTGCGCAGAAGCCGGAGACACGAGGTCAAAACGCCAGAGATCCGTCCGGATTCAAATCGTGGCAAGTCTCGCTAAACTTACACCTCCGCCTTTCCCAGTAATTTCGGAATTCGGGAAAGCCTCAAAAAGGAGGCTAAGGAACGATGATCTCAGCTTTTATAGAACACCTCCTAACTTAATCTTCCTTTGAATACTGCATGCATACAGAATGCCAAAATCCAACTTCCAATGTTTCTTTGACATTTGAACCCATGGGGCAAAATTACAAACACTCTGCCCACTTAGAGTTATCTATTTAAGAACCTTGAAGCAATACAATAACACCCTACACGACATAGGGGGCCTTATGGTCCAGTTTTACAGGCGAACTCGGAATGAGTCAGTGACAACTAAAAATAGCTCCAGTTACGCTGACATCAGGTCCATTTATGAGACAAAAACCAGACCACCACTCAAAAGTATAGTTGTTTGATAATAATGGTAACAGCAGCTAACACTTCTGTGGTGTTTTGCACATATGAACACAATCTTCACAACTACCTTTTTCAAGTGGGGCCTATCAGGTCCCTTTCACAGATAGGGAAACTGAGGCACAAAAGCTAATTTGCCCAAGGTCACGCAGCTGGTCAACCGCAGACCCAGTATTCACATTCAGGCAATGTGGTGCACGATTTTATCTGCTCTCCTGTAATACCTGATACAGTCCGATAAAAGCGCTGGTTCCACTCTTAGCTGTCCCGTTTAATTGCCTGGGGCAAGTCATAGGATTCTGAGCCCTAAACATGGAAATACATATAACTTGCCAACGTTTCAGGATTTCTGAGGATTCAATGGTGTGAAAACTCCTTAAAAGGCATCCTTAAATTGTTACACTCTCTTAATGCTGTCCAGGATCTGTCAATCCATTTCACTACCTACGTTTCAAGACTTGTGCACCAAGAAACGATACAAAAACCCATTTTCTCGGATAATTTTGCGAGGGAACTGTCTCTACAAAGAGCTAGAGAAAAGAAACCACCAGGGGGCCGGTATCACCTACCACATGCTAAGCTTTCACTAACCCAGAGGAAACAATGAAAGCTGCAAAGCAGCTCACTTGCCTCAGAAAAGCCTCACCCCCACTCAGACACGCCTTAAAACGTCTCCCCTTCCCCTGCATTCAGCACGCACCGGGCAGGCGGAGGTTCACGTCCCCGGCGAGCTCACAGCCTGAACGCTCAGTCAGCCCAAGGCTTCAGGCTCTTCTTCAGGTTCCCCACGCCTTCGGCTCGGATGCAATGCGGGACTGAAGCAAACAGGGGAACGGGCTGCTGAGTCCTAGTGGCTAGGAGAAGCCACGCCCTCGTCTGAGCTGAACGGGTGGGCCGTGAGCCAGAGTCAGAATGACAAAGCAAAAATCCACTCCTCGTGCAGCGCTGGCAACCTACGCCAATGGCTTAGCTAACTAGGATCCCCTAATTGGGTGACGCCACATCCTCTTCCTGCTCATAGCGCCCCCCAACCCAAGAAAAGAGCAAAAACAACTTAAGGAATATTTGAAACTAGAACCCAAAATAAGAGTGTGTTTTAAGTGAACAAAACTGGACTGTGCCCTGAGGCAGTGACTCCAGAACTTTGCTGCCGGTTGTAATCACGGGAGGATCTTTAGAAATGCTGGCGCCTGCCTCCCACCCCCAGCTATTCTGTTGTAATGGGTGTGGGGTGCGACCTGGGCATCTGGGTCGTTTTTGGTTTTTTTTTTAACTCCTTGGGTGATTCTAGTGGGCAGCAAAGTTGGGGACCCATTGCCCTCAGGTAATGTATTAGCCTGGAGGAAGTTAGTCATCAGGCTTTTAAAAGAAAACATCTAGCCCACCCTGACTAATCCTGAAAAGAAGTGAGCATATTCCCCTGCTCTCAGTCATATTCTCACTCAGCATCTTGTGCACATAGCTAGCTATGAGTATTTTCTGAGTAAGGAAGTAAATGAATGCCTTCCCCTCGTCTTTGTCTGCCTACTGCCGGGCTGAAGCACACTCAGGTGAACGGGTTCTTATGGCTTTAAGAAATCACACCTGTGACCTGGCAGACACACACAATCCACTTTTTTGAGCTCCTTCCAATCCTCTCAGCTTTTGAATGCACACACACACACACACACACACACACACACATACACACACACACACCTGACACTCCCTGCATGATAACCACCATGCATTTCCGTGGGAGCACACCTCACCTGATTGGGGTCCTTAGAACAGAGGATGGGGCTAGCACACAGGTGTTCAGGGAACAATGTGAACTAAGGAGCAAAGGATGAAAAATGTGCCGGAAAGAAAGCTGGGAGAAAACAATTTCTGTATTAACCATTTTATAGGCCTTAGGTCATTTAATCTATACAATAACAGCCCGTGAACCTGGATCATAAACTCCTCCTTCTTGAAAACACATAGAAACTACAGCTTATTTCGAAAGTATGTCTTTGGAGAGGGACTTTAAAGTCATTTAACTTGAAATAAAGTACTAAAAGCAAGTGATAAGGATTGATTTCTAAGAACCCTCCCTGTATGACAGACAGGTCAGTTACTGGAGTTAATATTTTCTAAAAGTATACCAGAAAAGGCTAGGTAAGGTATTTTAACCTCAGACTATTCATAAATGAGCAAATGACAGTACAAATCCCTAGAGTAGCTTCAGGTAGTTATTTTTTAAGTAAAAAAAAAAACACACCATTTTTTAAAACCTTCACTTTTATTTGAGGTCCTTCTTGCCACCACTAAGGGCCCAGAGGCCTCACCCTTGTTACAAAATAGAGACCACTCCTTAGTTCTATTTAGTTGCTGGTTAATGGAAGAAGTTCCTCATCTCCCACATCTTCCATGATGCAGCATTTGTTCTAGTCATACATCTTATTCTCTTACCTGGGCTTATGTTATACCCTCTGCCTGAATTATCTTCCCTCCCTGAGCAAAGCCTGCTTATTCAAAGTCTTCTCTGTGTCCCATTGTCTTTGCATGTCATAGCAAACATTTGTTCTTTCATTCTCACGTGAAGTCCCGGGTGCCTATCCCTTCTCTTTAGCTCTGGATGGCATATAAGCCTCAATTGCCCTATTGTCTTTGGGCCTCATTTTTATGGGGCCACTGTAAATATGAAATTAAACTTGATTGTCTCCCATTAACTTGTCGCATCTTAATTTAATTCTTAAACCAGCTAGAAGACTCTGCAAGAGTAGAGGAGAAATTTTTCCTCCCTGACACAGGCCAAGAAAGATATAAGAATATGGTGCTTGCGCAGAGACCACAGTATAGTGAGGGAGGGACCCATGAGAATATTGAGGGGATCTTTACAAGCAGAGGAAACAGAAAGGGCCCAAGCCCTAAACTGAGGGCCTGTTTTCTTTGACTTGTCCAAGGACCTACAAGGGAACCAATGTGTCTGAAGTTCAGTGAGTGAGAAATAAAGTAGTAGACAGTAAGATCAGAGGAATAAGCCAGGGGTCAGATCCCAAAGGCCATAGTTATGTCTTTGGATTTCATTCTCAATGTGATAAGAAGCCAAAGTGTCATGAGAGAGGACTGATCTATTTTGTATCTTAAAAGCACTGCTCTGCTGTGGGAAGAATTGACTAAGGGGGCTGAGACTCAGAGTGGACAAACATAACCGGTTAGGAAGTTACAGTGGTGGTCCAAGCTAGAGATTACAGGGCTTGGAGTAGTGAGGTGAGATGATATATTATTTGAAGGTAAAGCAAATATGTTTTGCAGATGAATGGAATGAAGGATGCAAAAAAAAAAAAGTAGAATTAATGATGACACCAGAGTTCTGGTCTTGGCAACTGAATAAATGGAGGCACTTTTTAATGAAAAAGGGAAACATTTGGGGAGGAGGAGAAAAGATGGGAATGGAAGAGATGGAAAGCAATAGTTTGGGACAAATGCATAGTGTGGTTTCAGAGACCTATTGTTACCAAATGGAGATGGTGGATAGGCAACATCCGGAGTTCAGGGGAGAAGTCAAGGCTAGAAATAAAAACTTGGGAGTCCAATGCAAAAGATATTTACTTCCATGTATATCAGTGAGCGTTATCTATTTAAAAAACAGTAGGATATATGTATAGATATAGATAAAGGTTTTTATAATTGGCTTTACAGTACTGTGGGGCTGGCAAGCCTGAAGCTACAGGACAGGCCAGCAGGCTGGAAAGTCCAGCAATCTTAATGTTGCAATCTTGAGTCTTAGGCAGTCCAGAGGCTTAATTCCTTCCTCTTTGGGGGACCTCAATCTTTTCTCTTAAGGCTGTCAATGAAAGAACACCCAGCCTACGAAAAACTCTTATACGAGTTTATTTGAACCAAACTGACAGCAATTGTCCAGAAGCAAAATCTCAACAGATTGAGAAAATGCTCAGAAGAATGGCTGCTTTACAGCTTGTTTTATATACAAGAACTAAAGGGGGAAAACAGAGGGGGGTTACATTAAATCCATTGATGGTGGGTTAGGGAGGCAGGAGAGAGCCAAGCTTGGAAATCTCTGAGACTGGGTAGAAAGTAAAACGGAGAGACACGTATTTCTTTTACATCTGTGGACATGGGACAGTTGACATTTTTAGCACACAGAGATGGTATTTGGGCAACAGCATAAGAATGTGGTGTTCTGCAACCTCATGCTCTCGTGGCAGATTGTGCCTGAGTGCCCTGCAAAGAGGAGATTACTCTGACATTCCAAAGGCATGTTATCTTAGATGCAAAAAGATAACAGACAGGCTCACTTTCTTAAAGACTGACTTTTGTCAAGGAGGCTTGTGGCCTAGGACGTGACTACCTGCCATGACTCACCTTTAGTCAGGAATTTTTATGTTCGGACCATCCCGTGGGTGGTTATTTTCAGTCTCTGAGTTTGTGAAGTCTGCCATGCAGGTCTCTCCTGACCTTGTCTGGTTAGACAGGTGGCCCCTTTTTCATCCACAAAGCCTACACTGATTGGATAAAGCCCACTCACATCACAGAGGGAATGTACCCTACTCAAAGTCTACTGATTTCAATGTTAATCACATGGGAAAATACCTTCATAAGCAACATCGAAACTAGAATTTGACCAAAAAAAAAACTCAGCAAAAAACTTGGCACCAACTTGACACATAAAATTAACCATCACATCATGGGAATAGATTAAATTGCCAAGGAATTAATATATCGTATTTACAAAAATGAAGATGGTCCAGGACTGAGCCCTGGCAGTGTGCAAAGGGGAAGAGTCCAGCGAAGGAGCCTGAGAAGGAGCCAGAGGGGGGCAGGAAAAAAACAAGAGAGTGCGATGTCTCAGAAGCTACCGAAGAAGTGCTCCCCAAAGGGGGAAGATCAACTCTATCCGGTGCTGCCAAGAAATCCTGCAACATAAGGATGGAGCCAAGGGAGTCATTGCTGATTTTTATGAAAATGACAGGGGGAAGAAAGCCTAATTAAAGGAGATGCAACAAGAAACAAAAAACAAAGAAGTGGAGGTGGTACCTGGAGACAACTCTTTCAAGAAGTTTTGCTATAAAAACAGGTAAGTGGGGAAACAGCTGAAGAGGGATGGGAGATCAAGGCGGGTCTGTTGTTTGTGTCCTAAGGGGGAAGTTACTGTAGTATGTTTTTATGCTGAAGGAACGATCCAGCAGAGGGAAATTTGGCGATTTCCAAAGAGGAAAGTAGGAAGAGCAGATCATCACAGAAGCAAAGTCCTTTGAATATACATCTGTTGTGCAACATAGACTTTGATGTCAAATCTAGATTCTATCCTTGATTAGAGAATGGAATCATCAAGTTATTCAGTCGTTTAGCTTCGTCATCCTCTTTCTCCAAGCCCCTGTGGACCTCCTACCTCTTCGTTTCACCCAGATCTCTGGATGTCTATGCCCCAGGCCTTAGGTCTTTCTAAATCTCTTTAATTACCAAACCACAGGGCTTTGCAAACTTCCCGTCATTCATCAAATCTTAGTTCAGACATGCCTTCCTTGAGGAAACCATCACATAAGTCAAATCCCCTTATGAAATGCTCCTGTGTTACTATGTATTATTTCTACTTAATACATACCAATTGCAATCGTATGTTTATTTATGATTATTTGATCAATGTCAGCCTCAACTTCTACAACAGCATAGTTCAATAGAACTTTCTGTGATGACAGAAATGTTCTATATCAACACTTTTCAACCCAATAGCCACTAGCCCTTAAGATATGGCTAGCGCAAGTGCAGACCTGAAGTTTTTATGTTATTTGTTTAATTAATTTAAGTGCAAATAGCCATGTGAGGGCAGGGATCAGGATTATTCATGCTCATCATGGTGTTCCCAGCACTT